AAAAACAGAATTGAAAAGTTTGAAAAAAAAGGGAAAAAAGGAAAAAAAAAAAAAAAAAGAAAACCTGTTTCAACAAAAATTGCCAGAATTCTACCATAGAAAAATTTACAGGTATTCAATGAAGATCTACATTAAGCTATTATTTTCTTTTGAAATGGAGGAATTTCTCAACTGTTTGGTACCATCCACAATAAATTTTTAACAGTGGGCTAGAGAAATGTGTGTATATTAGAAAACTGAAACCTAATTTATAGTTTGTTAAAGACAATTCTCTTGTTAATCTAGTACCCACTTAAGTTTATTTCTGTTCCCCTGCGTCTAGGTATTTTTCTAGATTTAGTCTGCTGTAATACCTTTGACATTGCCAGGTTGCCTATTTGAATGTGTATATTTCTTTTTCTTTTTTAATGTATATCTTTAAGATTTTATGTGTGTTTTGCCTGTGTGGGTGCAGTGTGTGTGTGTGTGTGTGTGCACACGTGTGTGCCCGGTGCCTGAGGAGGCCAGAAGAGGGTTTTGGGTTTCCTGGAACTGGAGTTAAGGACAGTTGTTAGCCATCATATGGGTACTGGGAACTGAACCTGAGTCCTCTGCAAAAACAGTAAGTGTTCGTGATTGCTGAGCCATCTCTCCAGGCCCTGTATATCATTTTTAAAGATTCATTTTAAGTGTATGTGTGGGAATGTGAAAGTGTCCTTGGAGTCCAGAACAGGGACTTGGAGGCCTGGAGCTGAGTTTCAGGCAGTTATGAATCACCTGATGTGGGTGTTGGGAAACAAGCCCGGGTCCTCTGCAAGCGCAGCAGTATGCACTCTTAGGCACTGAGCCATCTCTACAGTCCCATGGATGTGTATCTTTTAAAAAATATACCCATAGCCAGGCGTGGTGGCACATGCCTTTAATCCCAGCACTTGGGAGGCAGAGGCAGGCAGATCTCTGTGAGTTCAAGGCCAGCCTGGTCTACATAGTGAGCTCCAAGACAGCTGGGGCTACAGGGAGACCCTGTCTCAAAAAGACCAAAACAAACAAAAACAAACAAACAAAAAAAATATATATATATATACACACACACACACACACACACACACAGCCAGGGCTAGAGGCATAGGACAATGTTGTCATACAGTGCTCTCCTAGACTGTGTGAGGCCCTAGGTTTGATCCCTAACATCACAAAATAAAAACAGGCCCTGCTATTTTAATAAAAAGTAGGGTATTAGCTGTGTCATTACACACTGATTTTTTAAAACTATTTATTTTTATGAGTGTATTGCCTGCATGTATGTGAGTGCACCCGTGTCATGCAATGCCTCAGAGGTCAGAAGAGAGCTTCGGATTCCCTTGGAACTGGAGTTAAGGACAGTTTGTAGCCACCATGTGGGTGCTGGGAATTGAACCCAGGTCCTCTGCAAGAGCAGTCAGTGCTCTTAACTGCTGAGCCATCTCTCCAGCCCAACACACTGATTTTTAAAAAAAAAAAATATGTATGAGTGTTTTGCCAACATGTATGTAAATGTACCACATGCATGTAAATGTACCACATGTATGCATTGTCCATGGGGGCCAGAAGAGGGCATTAGATTCCCCTTGGAACTGGAGTTTTGGATAGTTGGAAGCCACCGTGTGTCCTAGGAACCAAACCTGGAAGAACACAAGTGCTCTTAACTGTTGAGCCATCTCTCCAGCCCCAACATGCTGTAATTAAGGTCTATCCTGTAATGTTTATTAGCATTTTGGATGAGCATTTGATAAAGAAGGCAAAGGTATGAGATTATCTTAATGTTATCTCGCATGTGCTCCTTAGAATCTGAAAATTCTAAACTGCCATTTGTTCCCAGCAGGAAACAGAAAAAGGATCATAGCTCTTCCAATTTTGGTAAAAATAAGCAATTATGTCATACACAGTTTGCACAAAATCTGTGTTATTTGGCCTAGTTAACAAATAGGTTGCAATTGGTCTATTTTGGACTTAAAATTGAAAATTGGTGGTGAGATGGTTCTGCTATAAAAGGTGCTTGCTGCCAGACCTGAACCCAAAACCTGGAAACCCATATGTTGGCAGGGAACAGACTCCAACACCCCCCCACACACACGCTTACAAAATGTTTTTTTAAAAATGGGTACTGGGCCAGGCGTGGTGGTGCACGCCTTTAATCCCAGCACTTGGGAGGCAGAGGCAGGTGGATCTCTGTCGGCTCTTTGCAATATAGCTGTATTCACCCTGCAGTTAGGGAAACAGCAAAATACAAGGCGTGGTAGAGCACACCTTTAATCCCAGCATTCAGGAGGCAGAGGCAGAGAGATCTCTGTTAGATCGAGGCCAACCTGGTCTACATAGGGAGTTCCAGGCCAGCTGGGCTAGAGGGAGACCCTCTCTCAAAAACACACAAAAAAAAGAGGGGGGGGGGACACTGGAGCGATGGCTCTGTGGTTAAGTGCATACTGCTCTTACAGAGGACCAGAGTTTGGTTCCCAGCACTGCTTACAAGCTCCTGTGTAACCAGCTCCAAGGCATCCTATGCCCTCTTCTGCTCCACACATACTGCCATACAGAAGCATACATGATTTTTAAGATTGTAAAGTTCTGAAAAAAAACTGACAGAAAAATAATTCTGAACAGAAGCCAATTGTTCTATAAATTAATTTTGTTCTTTATTTATACAGAGAAATCTAGAAACAAGTTCATTTCTTACAGCTGCTGTAGGAAAGTAGGTGGTCTAAAGACAAATACACCTTCTCTGGTTTTGGCGACTAGAATCTGAAGTCCAACGTGAGTGAAGCCTTGCTGTTTCCCTTTCCTCTTCCAGGCTTCAGGTGGGGGCCTCAATCCTTGGTGTTCTTGGCTCATATCTCCATCACTCCAATTCCTGCCTGTGTCTTCACACATCCTCCCTGTGTCTGTCCTTCCATGGCATCCCTTCCTATAAAGACAATAGTCACAAGGATTAGGCCTGCCCTGTGGCCTCATCCTAAATACATTCATGGGCACTGAGGGTTAGGGTGTCAACATCTTTTTAGGGACACAGTTCAACCCATATAATATTCATTTACATTTTTAAGTCATTTTTACATGTATAAGAAAAATTAAATGCCAGTTTTAATTTGGTTTCTCAAATTTGGGGGTTAAGGACCTTGTGACAGACCAAGTCACAAATGAAATTCTTCAAATTTTATTTTGATTTTATACAAAATACTTTAAGTATAAGCAGTACTTTGCAGTGTTTAGAGAAATGTTAACTGAGAGCCCATAAGCGGTATCATCCTCATTTTTATTATATATAATTTATAATGTGACATCATAATCAAGCTTATTCTGAGAAACAAGAATTATAATGGCAGGAGGCATTGCAAATACTCAGTTTCACATGATATTGAAGATGAAGTATATTCCCAATCAAATGCTGGAAGTTGATGAAACTCATTTAGGCAGTTTTTATAAGATACTGAACCAAGCACGGTAGTTTACACTTGTAATCCCAGCAACTGGAAGGTTGATGCAGAAGGACTGCCTTGAGTTTGAGGCCAGCCTGCACTATACAGCAAGACCTTGTCACAAAACAAAAGAGAGTTTGATTAAACCACAATACAAGCTCACAATTATCTATTCATCTCAACCTCACACTTGCCTGCAGTTACCTTTAGATTAGGTGCCTAAATAAGTGTTTGACTCAATAAATGTAAAAATATACACATTTAAAACTTATTCACAGAATTCTTGGCACAGTTTTATTTTGAAGTTTCTATTGCTGTGAAACTTGAGGTTCATGGTGCCGCTCCTTCAGACCCAAAAGTTCCGTTTTGAGTTCTCCAGGCTTTGGTGGAATTTCAGGTATTGTCTACAAAAATAAAAACAAAAAGCAGATGCCAGCTTTCCTTCATAATAATTGTGTGACCTTTTTTAAAAAATATTTTATTATTTTTACTTTATGTGTACGAGTGTATTGCCTGCATGTATGTGAGTGCGCCCATGTTGCCGCGAGGTCAGAAGAGGGCTTCAGATTCCCCTGGAACTGGAGTTAAGGACAGTTCGTAGAATCGAACCCGAGTCCTCTGCAAGAGCAGTCAGTGCTCTTAACTGCTGAGCCATCTCTCCAGCCCCCTTAAAGACTTTTGTTTTTGGTCTTTTTGAAACAGGGTCTCCATGTAGCCCCAGCTGTCCTGGAACAAAAAGCACTCCCCCATGCTACTCAACAATAACCATTGCTAAAAGGACCTCTAGATGATCTAAATTTCTTCCTAGGCCTGTATTTATTTCAGACCTTGCAAGGTCTGAAATCCTATAGGACTCAGAGAGGGATAGATTCAATTGACTTAAAATTTGAATCATTTCAAATGAGAATTTCAACAAGAGGAAGTTCATTCCTGCACTATTTGCCGACTCTACCAGGCACAGGAAATGGCTATTAGGAGTTAATTCATGAATTCAAAAAATGTGTCCTTATTATGTGAAATGTATAAAGCAATGAGCAAAAACAAACAAAAAACAAAAGACCCACAATCCTTGCCTTTGAGGGAGGTAGTAAAGAAAGGCATAGGGTACTGTGGCTCAGTGGTGGAGTGCTTGCCTTAGCATGTGTGTGGCTGTGGGTTTGATTTCCCACCATCACAAAGGAGAAAAAAAAAATCAATGTTTTTTCAGTACAGTATATTCAGAACTGTGGGTATGGCATGCTTGTGGGACACTTACATACAGGCAAAACATTCACATATAAAAATAAATACATAAAACACTGCCTTGCTATTCTGGAGAATGATGCTGGACAACTAAAACAAAGCACTCTCAACAGTTCTCCCTAAAGTAGTGCTGAGTCCAAGCTCGCAGACTCATCACAGTCCTCTCCACTTGGCCCACCCCTTTGAGAGCCTGGACCTCTGAGCAGTCACAATGTGGCTGTGGTTGTAATAACAGTGGCAGCTGGAATAATTACAAAAGTCTAGGTAAAGAACATACATCCCTTAATTAGCCCAACATGCAGCATCCTAAGGCAGCCTGCCATCCTAGCCTTTAAGTCTATGAACAGGTGACCTACTGCCAATGTCACCAGCCTATGACAATGAGGTGGCCTGGTAGCTTCTGTACGCCCTTTGTAGAGACTGCGGCTCCCAATGGACAGGCAGCTGCTGGTAACAATCCTTGCACATTATAATGAGCTGAAATAAGTCAACTTGACAGGGTCAAATTCTAGACTCTCTTTTCTTGGTAAAGAGCTGCTGATAGCTTATTCCTGCACAAGCTAGACACAAAACTGCATCTCGGTGGAAAGTTCTTGCCACTTTCTGTCTCCAAGAAGTGTCCTTGACACTTCACAACTCTTTTAAGAGTTCACAGTCTGAAGTGGTAAGAAAGATGTGCTGCAGCATTGTATATCCAAACGCTACGAACAATTTACAATAGGGACCGGGCAAATGGGACAGAATGGCCATATTATAAGAGCATACAGCTGGAGGTGCAGGTCCGTGGACTGGCACGCGCCCCACGGCACTCACCAGGTCAGGCCGGTAGTACCAGTGCACCACTTGGGCCCCGGCGCACATGGCCAGGAGGCTGGCAGCGAACATTTTCAGGTAGGCGGGCCAGGGCACGCCCCCGGGCATGATGGAGCGCTGCCGAAGAAGCAAAGTCAACAGTGTTACAAGGACGGCTCGCCCCTACACGCCAGGGCAGCGAAAGGAGGCGGAGTCGCAATGCCAGGGGCCCTCCGGTCCCTGCGCCCAGGGCCCGAAGTCACGGAGCCTCCGGACGAGCGCGCCGTTCAGCGTGCGGTGCTGGACCTGCCGGGCGCGCCAACTGAGCAAGCGAAAGGCGGGCGCCGAGGTGTGGGGGCTCTTCGCATCCCTTCGGTTCCCCTAGAACAGATGCAGCCCCTCGCCCCCACCCCTGAGGACGCGCGGGAGACTGTACCGGGAGGTGCACACGCCCTTGGCAGCCGGTCTGAAGTTCCCTCTAGAGCGAGGGCGGACCACTTGCGGGCCGGAACTAAAGTGCAGCGGGTAAGCGCAGCGGTGGCGCGGAAAACCAGGGCACTGCGGCGCAGGCGCACTCATGGGTCTCTGGCGGAAATGGGCCGCTGGGGGGAAGCTAGAAGGTTTTTCTTAATATCCTTTTCCACATTCTTGCCCAGCCTGGGCCCTCAGCCCCTCGCCCCTGTCCCCTATCCTAATGTTGAACTTTCCTGGCAGTTTTGTTCTCTCAGGCAGGATCGCACGCTTTGACCACGTTTAGGAAGAGTTTCGCAATCATAGTTGCGTGCTTTGAGGGGAGGTCTCCCTGTAGTGAGAGACGTTCAAAGCGTTCGCAGTCCCAGCTCCAGACAGTAAGCCTGTGGTTCACAGTGTTACTGGAAAAGAGGAGACATCGACATTAATACATGTATTTTTTAAAAGATCATGCTTTGATTGTAGATTGGTTTGCAAAAAAATGAACTCTAAAGGATTAAGATTGAATGTGTAACCTGAATCACTGTACATTTTTTGAAACTTCAAAACATGAGATGTCTCAACGGGTAAGGGCGCTTGCCGGTAAACCTGACCACTTGAGCTCGATCCCCAGGATCCACACAGTTGTCCTCTGACTTAACACACATAAAATGTTTAAAAACTTTAAACTTTATGGGGGTATATTTGACATATAAGCTCACTTAAAACGCTCAATTTCGCGTAGTTTGCCGTGCATACACACGTGAAACCATTCCTACAACTGAGATTAATGAACGTATGCGGGATGGCTTTAGTATCAACTTGACACCTGGGTAGAGGGAGCCTCAACTGGGGAATTTTCTCCATTGGACTGGCCTGTGGCCATATTTGTGGGGCATTTTGATTTGCTGAGTGATGTGGGAGGGCCCAGCCCATTGTGGGTGGTGCCACCCCTGGGCAGGTGGTTCTGTATTGTAAAAGAAAGCAGGCTGAGTTTGAGCCTGGGAACCAAACCAGTAAGCAGCATTCCTCTATGACCTGTATTTCAGCTCCTGCCTCCAGGTTCCTGCCCTGAGTTCCTACCTTGGGCTCTCTCAGTGATGAACTGTGACCTGGGAAATGTAAGCCAAATAAACCCTTTCCTCCCCCAAGCTGGTATTGGTCAGTGTTTTGTCACAGCAATTGAAGGTAAACTAGAACAGAATGTTATCCCTAAGTTGTTTTGTGAACATGTCCCGTGTGTGTGTGTGCGTGTGTGTGTGCGTGTGTGTGTGTGTGTGTGTGTGTGTGTGTGTCCATGTCCGCTCAGGTACCAAGTGTTCAGAGGACAATGACAAGAATAAGAATCATTCCACAAGTGCTATCCACCTTTTGTTTGTTGAAACAAGGATTCTCACTTTACATGGAGCTCCCAAAGTAAGCTAGGCTGGCTGTTCAGTGAACTTGTTTCTGCCTCCCTAGCCCTGGGACTATAGCCTAGTTTAATCTGTGAGCTCCAGGTCCAGTGAGAGACCCTGCTCAAATAAAGAAAATGCCAAGCTACTGAAAAGACACTTGAAGTCAGCCTTTGGCCTCCACACTCACACCCACACAGATGCTTGAGCGTGAATACACAAATACACACAGTGGATTATTAGTTGCTCAAACTGGCCTCCAACCTGCAGTGTTCTTCCTGCCTCAGTCTCCCAAAGTGCTGGAATTATAAGTATGTGCCACCATGCCCTGCTTTGGCTCATAGACTTCCATATACATATGTTTTCTTTGGTGAAGTATCTGCTCAAATCTCTTGCCCATTTGCTTGGTTAGGTTGTTTCCTTAAGAGTGTGGAATGCTCTTTGCAAGTATTTCTTTCCAGTACTCTGGAGGCAGAGGCAGGCAGACCACTGTGACATGGAGGCCAGCCTGGTCTACAGAGCAAGTTCCAGGCAGCTGGAGCTACAGGGAGACCCTGTTTCAAAAAGACCAAAGAAAGAAAAAAAAATAGTTAATTTACACTTTTAAACAATTGATATTTCTGTTTATTCATAGAAGGATTTTCTTGATTACTTTTAAAGATTTTTTTTTTAAACTTTATTTGTATGGGGAAATGTGCGTGTGAGTACAGGTGCCCGTGGAGTCCAGGATTGGGGTTACAGGCCATTGTGAACCACCAGACCTGGGTGCCGGGAACTGGATTCTACGAGAGTACTGTGGGCTCTTAAACTGCTGGATCATTTCCGCAGATGGACAGGCTTTTTTAAAAAGGATCCTAGAATGAAAGATGCATGAAGCATGCATGGTGCCACCACCATCTCTGAGCTCATATGTCACAGGAGTGAAAAATAAACGTCTGCTGCTGTAAATAAGCTTTACTGCGGGCACAAGCTAGGCAACTCTAATTCACAGCCATGTTTTTCATCATGCAAACTAAAGAAACAAAAGCCTATCACTAGGAAGAGCTAAGGACGTCTTCACACAAACCAGTGATAGGCACTGAGAAATGTACTCATGAAACAAAAACCCACTCTGACTATAGTCACAGAGTTCAAAGTAAGCCAGGTCTACAAAGTGGAGATTGCCTCAAAAACCCAACAGAGCCACGGGGAAGAAAAGGAGGGGTTGGTGTGTAGGATTCTGAGGGGATGCTGCAACGGCACCTAGTGCTGGGGACTTCAGGGCCTTCAAACGTATTTGAACATCACCGAAGCAGAAAATGGTTTACCTAGAGCTTTACACTCCACGAAGGGCCTCCTTTTACAGATTAGGAAACTGAGGTCCACTCCTAGGTCTTCCTATTCCAAAGCTTCTCCTTCCGCGTCCCAGGAATGATAGTTTATCTAAGGCAATTTTTTAAACTGTCTTAGTTTTATGAGTGTACTGCCTGCATATATGTGAGTGTACCCGTATTATGCAATGCCCACGGTCAGAAGAGAGTGTCAGATTCACCTAGAACTGGAGTTACAGGTGGTTGTTATCCACTATGTGGGTGCTGGGAATCGAATCCTGATCCTCTGCAAGAGCAGCCAGTGCTCTTGCAGCCAACCGGTCACCTGCATCCACCCACAAAGCTGACGTCAGTAAGTGGTTCCCCCTCCACCTCTCCGTCCTCCAGGTTTCCCTGGACCTAACCAAGCAGCAGCCTGACGGCCTGGGAAGGGATTGGACAGGGAGGCGTCACGTGACGACACCGCGCCTGCCGGGGTTCCGGGACGTAAGTGCCGTGGAGGCGGGTGATGTAGCGCGGGTAGGAGCCGAGGCCAGCCTTCCGTCCACCCGTCCGTCTGTCCGTCCATCCATCGGGCCCGAGGAGCCTACCTGTGCCAGGAATGGACGCAGAGGCCACACGCAGGTAATGCCGAAGCTCGCCGCCCCCTCCGGCCCCTCCCTGCCCCTGACGGCCAGCGCCATGCGCGCGCCCTTGCGGTCAGGGTGGGCCAGGCCCGGCTGAATACAAAGGCCGGGCCGCGCGTGCGCACTGCAGGCCTGCGCCGCCCCCTCCCCTGGCTGTGCCCAGCACCTGTCCCGAGTAACCCTGAGCTCTGGAAGGTGGGGAGCAGCCTCTGCCACCAGAAAATCTGCCTTCCGGGATACTGTTCTTCGCTCTTTCCTTCCCCCCTGGTGACCATGCATAGAGAGATAGACTGAGCACCCTGCGGACCTAGCTCCTGCTTTCAGGGTAAACTTGTGAGATGTCCACCATGGCTTCTCTCAGGCTAGATCGTATTACTGTGGAAGTACGAATGACATGGTGAAGAAGGCGATCTAAAGTGTGATTTTCTAGGGATGCTGGAAGGATCTTTAAAGTTGTCCTTAAGGGGCCAGGCGTGGTGGCATACACCTTTAGTCCCAGCACTTGGGAGGCAGAGGCAGGCGGATCTTTGTGAGTTCAAGGCCAGCCTGGTCGACATAGTGAGTTCAGGTCAGCTGGGACTACAGGGAAACCCTGTCTCAAAAAGAAAAAAAAGTTGTCCTTTAGGAGTCTTGGGTATATCACAAGCGGTTTCACAGAAGTGTACATTTAGAGATTTGAACCGTTTTTTTTTTTTTGGAGGGGGTACTATATGTGTATGAATGTTTTGTCTGCATGTATGTAAGGGCACTACATGCATGCAATGCCTGCAAAGTCCAGAAGAGGGTGTGGGATCCCCTGAACTGAAGTTACAGACAGTTGTTAGCTGCTGTGTGGGTTCTGGGAACCAAACCCAGGTCCTCTGCAAGAGCAGTAAGTACTCTAATTTCTGAGCTATCTCTCCAGCTCTGAGATTTGAACTCTTGACAGAAAGTTAAAGATGGCAGGGCCTTTGCAAGGAAAAGGAATGATTTGCGTAGAAATAAAATACAATTAAGCCTAATGAAGAATTATCCTGACCTTCAGTGACTGGCCATTGAATTCACAAGACTTGCTGGCTTTAGTCTGCCTTCTCATTCAACAGCTGTGCCATCCTACATCTCCATGGACAAGGTGACAGTGGGCTGATAGCCGTCCTTGTGAAACGGAAACCTGGTTTACACTGAAAAGATTCAAGGACAGCTTGCTTAGGGGTCTCTATTGATAAGGCAGGTAGCTCTGTCTCCTGCTTTGCTCTTCAGCACTTTAACAACTTTCGGGTGCTAGTAGCTTGCTGATGAAAGTAGTGAGTGCCCTATCCCACTCTCAGAGGGGTTTGTAGAACTGATTGATTGAGCAGAGTCCACATAACTAAACCTTGATTGGGTAGAATGGTGAATCATTAACAAAACGAGGGACGATCCTGTACTGCGGTGCAGAAAAATGAAGGCAAAGCATAGTGGGAGGGAGAAGTAGCTTGCAAGTTTCTCACGTACTGGGGCGTGTAATTTATCTTCAGAAGGAAGAAGTTGGTGATTCTGCTCAGGAGTATTTGGACTTGTAATATGGAGTATTTTGTTTGATTCTGAGCACACATGCACCCCATAAACAAGACCAAATAGTAGGAAAAAACTCGATATCATATTAAAGGAATTTTAAAGTGAACCAGGATTATTATTTTGAGGTGGGGAATGAGGATTAGGGACTGAATCCAGGGCCTCTGGTACATTAGGCTAGCACTATACCACTGATCCCTGTACCTGCTATCTTTTTGTTGTCTTTTTTAAAAATATTTTATTTTATGTGTATAAATGTATTGCCTGCAGTGTGTAAGTGCATCCACGCTGTGCAATGCCTATGGAGGTTGGAGGAAGACAAATCCCCTGGAACTGGAGTTACAGATGATTGTTAGCGGCCATTTAGATGCTGGGAACTGAACCCAGGTGCCAGAGAGCGGTTGCCACTAAGCCATCTCTCCAGTCCCTTTTTACTGTTTTGTTTTGTTTTTCTGAGGCAGGTCTCACTGGATAGTGGATAGCCCTGGATAGCCTGGAGCTCACTATGTAGATAAAGCTGACCTCCAGCTGACAAAGGGCCAACTCTGCCTCACAAGTACTGATATTAAAAACATGTGCCATCATGCCCAGCTCTCTTTTTACTTTTTATTTTGACAAAAGTCTCACTGCGTTATCTGGGTTAGCCTTAGATTCACTTAGCTAGACCTTGAACTTGTAATCCTCCTGCTTCAGCCTCCCATATGGCTGGGATTACAGGCCTGGCTTGAACTGAAAATTCTGACTTGAACTAAGTCTTTGTGCTCACATGTTTAGCAGTCCATGCACAGGGTGAGTACTCAATTTTCTATGAAGCAGTGTCAGAAGCAGATCTGTATTCTGCTAGGTTCCTTGATAGTCTACATGACTAGTTCCCTAGAGTTGAGCGTTCAGATTGTTTAGCACTGGTCATTATTTTGTGAGTTTTCCATGTTGTGTATTCTTATTTCAAGTGAAGATAGCAAAAAGTATTTAGAATATTAAAACCTAAATCCTTAAAATAGTATAAAATAGCTTAAAAAGCAGTTGTAGTCATTATTTTTAGAGATTTTAAAATACAGGAAATATGAATTAAACTGAATTTAGACTTTTTAAAAAAATCTTTAGAGGTAGTCTTGCTGTATAGCCCACGTTGGCCTCAAATTTGTGGTGAGCCTCCTGCCTCAGCTTCTCAAGTGCTAGGGATTACAAATAACGCAGTGAGGTAGTTTTCAACTGCAGTTCTTTTCTTTAAAAATTTAAATTTATTTTTATATGTATGAATGTTCTACCTGTCTGTAATATAAGTACATCTGAGTTGTCTAGTGCCAGCGGAGGCCAGAAGAGAGTGTTGGATCACGTGGAACTGAAGTCACAGATGGTTGTTAGTCCTCATGTGGGTGCTGGGAACCTAACCCTGGTCCTCTCCAAGAGCAGCCAGTGCTCTTAATCGCTGAGCCATCTCTCCAGCCCCTCCAGCTCTGAAAACCAGTCCTGGTAACACTTTAGATCGATAGAAGAGGGTACAGATGGGGTCTAGGAGAGAAGGAATAAACAGCACGAGAAGGAAAGAGGCAGTGCAGAACAGTTGTGAGGGTCAACAGGTGAGAGAAGAAAAGTGAACAAGGAGGATATATAAGTTTGATGCAGGAAAAAAGGTCTTGGGGTCTGTGATGGTTAATATTCAATATCAACTTGACTGGATTTGGAAGCACCTTTGAGATCTTTGAGATTTATCTTTGAGAGTGTTTCCAGAGAGCTTTAACAGAGGAGGAAGGAAGACCTGCCCTGAATGTCAGCAGTACTGTGGTAGCCTGAGGAATTCATTCTTGCAGCCCTCTGCTCACATAAAGCTGGATCTTTGAGGCCTGGAGAGATGGCCCAGTGATTAAGAACACTAGTTGTGCTTGCAGAGGACCCAGGTTCGGTTCCCAGCACCCACATGGCAGCTGACAACCTTCCTTAAGTCCAGTTCCGGGGGATCTGACATCTTTTGGTTTCCATGAGCATTGCACAACATGGGTGTATTTGCATACCTGTAGGCAAAACCCTGATACACATAAAACAAAAATAAATAATTCTTAATTAAGTAAAAAAGACACATCTAGTTTATTTCCCTCTTAAAATAATTTCTTTTTGTAATAAAATTGTGATTTTATGAGGTATGTTATTTAGATTTAGGACTGAGAGAGACGTGGTAACACAGTTAAACTTCCAGCCACAAACATTCTGATCCTAAGTAAGCATGGTTTGTTGTTCTCAGCCTGCTTACTTTGATGTCCTTGGGCAGATAAGCCAGTCTCTCTAGGGAGTTTTGATTTTATCAGCTTTGCTCAAGGTTCTACCTCCCATTCTGATCCTGGAGAGACTTACTTCCTTTTCCTGCCCTTTAACCTTCCTGTCTTTATCCTGTCTCAGCACCATCCCATGGGCTGGGTCCCAGACTGAGTAAAAAAGGAAAGGGTAAAAAGCCAGCTAAGCACTGCCATTCCCCCCTTTTCTAGAACTGCTTCCTGGTCAGCCACACCTTCCCCACCAAGGTGGGCTGCATTCCTCTGAATTGGGCGCCAGAATAAGCCCTTCCTCCCTTAAGTTGGTTCTTGTTAGGTTTTTGTTCCCACCAACCAGGAAAGTAACTAAACAGGGTCTGTTCAGATTTAGTCAGTCAGTCCTATCCATGGGTAGAGGTCACTGAGTCTAACTTCGTCTTCATTGTGAGGGAAGGGAAGCTGGGCCAGACCAGAGATGACTCTGCTCTTTGTTGTTGCCCCCCTCTCCTGGAGAAGTTCAGAAGCACTGCAGGATTGTCTTAGGAAATGGTGTGTGAGTGTGCGTGCATGCGTGTGTGTGATATTTAAGACATTTTAACAGCTTGACACAGATTTGTGCTGCTTACAAATTAGATTACCCAGAACTCCTTGGTTTCCTAGCATTCAAATTCATAAATGTCTTTGTGTACATTGTAGTGGCATGAAGGCCTGAGCTTAGATCCCCAGCACTCACATAAAAATACCTCAAATATATTGATTTCTCTGTAATTTTACATAATAACTCATTTTTTAGTAGCTGCACAGTATTTTCTCATGTTAGTAGAATGCCTTATTGAACCATTAATTTAAGAAAAGTATATATATTTAAAGAAATAAAACTGAAACTATAGTTTAATATTTTCCTTGCTGGTTTGAGACCTTCTGTCTAGGAACTTGCCCTTCTTGAAGCCAAAATGCCTGTCCATTGGGATTGAGCCCCTGCTGTCTGTGAGCATCCAGCATCCAGCCTGGTCTCCCATAGACTGTTATCTTGTGTCTCCTGGACCATTTACTTGGCCATTTTGCTGAGTTAAGACTGGTTACAGAATTGGATCCTTGAACCTCTGCTTTTCTGAGGCTGAACACAGAAAGCAAGCTGCTAAACACTGTTTTGCCACAGAAAATGTGACTTCCCTCTCCAAATACTAGATTCCTTTCCATTTTATTTCCAAACGGTTTCTACATTTAATGCTATTACTTGGTATTGCTGAACTTGATTCCAACACATCTGTTTACCACCCCGCTGCCCCGCAGCTTTGTGCCGAGGGCAGTAGCTTTAGACAGTGGTTTTAGATCACTATAGCAAGGTGTTTGGAAATTGCTTTCCTTAAAGACTTGCTTTTGAGAGTGGGTTTTGGTGGCCTATTTCCTTGTTTTGTTTCTTGCATTTTGTTTTGCTTTATTATTTTATTTTTATTTTATGTGTGTCGGTGTTTTGCTTGTTTATATGTAAGTATACCACATGCATGCAGTGTTCATAGAAGCCAGAAGAGGGTGTCAGATCCCCTAAAATGGGAGTTACTGACTGCTATTAGCTGCCATGTGGGTGAAGGGAACCAAACCCAGGTGCTTTGCAAAAGTAGCCAATGTTTTAACACTGAGTCGTCTCTCCAGCCCTTGTTTTGTTTGAGTCAGGCTCTCTCTATGTAGCCCAGGCTGACCTAGAACTCACTGACCCCTTCTTTCACCTCTCCAGGGCTGGATTAGAGGTGTGTGCCACCTTACTCAGGAAGGCGTTCAGTCTTTCCTTTTAATAAAATTTAGGTCATGTTCAAGTAAGTTTAACAATTTATTTTGTTTGTGGGGCTAGAGAGATGGCTCAGTGGTTAAGAGCACTGGCTGCTCTTGCAGAGGACCTGGGTTCAATTCCCAGGACCCACATGCAGCTAACAACCATCTGTAACGCCAGTTCCAGGAGATCCGACGCCCTCTTCTGACCTCTGCAGGCATTGCACGACAAGGGTGCACTTACATACAAGCAGGCAATACATTCATTCACATAAAGTAAAAATAATAAAATATTAGCTGGGCATGGTGGCGCACGCCTTTAATCCCAGCACTTGGGAGGCAGAGGCCAGTGGATCTTTTTGAGTTGAAGGCCAGTCTGGTCTAATAATAATAATAATAAATAAAATATTTAAAAAGATTTATTTGTTTCATTAGTTGAACAGATATTTACAAAATAATCCATTTCTGGTGCCCATATAGTGGCAAACAACAACTGTAACAGGAAACAAACCTAATGAATAAATAAGAAACCAGGCAAACAAACCAAAAGAAAACCTCGTCACCCCGTTGGGGCCAGGGAATCTTTGTGCCAGGATGATTCAGGCGTGAAGGTGGGGACATACATTGTATTTGTGAGTAGGTTTAATTCATACGCATTGATGGACCTTCAAGTCTATCTACTAGCAAATTTCTATGATTGCATTTCAGAGAAGGTGCAGGCCGACTTGACTTGACAGGACCAGCAGGTTTTATTGGTGGCACCTCTGGTCATTAAACAGTGAGATTTAACGTTTCCTTGGGATCCTTGATGAGGTAAAGGTGGGGAGACAGTGCAGACGGGCTCTTCCTGCTCTCTGCTATCTACTCTAAATGATTACTACAGCCTGGCTACAGCACACTAGGATCCTGGAGATGATTTTTTTACAACTGACCATTTAAACTTACGTTCAGGTAATTGTTCTTGTCTAATCGTCACTTGTATCTAATTGTTCTTTCAGCTACTCTCTTGAGCAAGCTCAAGCTTTTTATTCATTTCCGTTTCCGCACATGATGGCTGAAGCGTCTGACGTGGCAGTGCCACAGCCACAGAGGCCAGAAGAAGCTCCTGCGCCAACTCCTGCCCAGGAACTGGTACCAGGTACTTTTCCACCATGATGGAGAGTAGATACAGGCCAGCCAGTATACTTGAGAAAGGGGTCAATGATGAGATTTAGATCTGTTTAGTATCTTTTGAAAAATAAAGTCTACTTTGTAAGTAGCTAGTATACGCTAAGTGCTCTGGTCAGTTTTGAGGAATAAAAGCACAGTCTAGCCCTTGAAAGTCTCCTACCCTAGTAGAGGAAAGTCATTAGTAAATACAGGTAATACATCTGCACACTGCGGTGCAGAGGGGCACAGGGTGGATGATCTGAAGCCTTACTAGGTTGGCACTTAAGTTGGACCAAGGGGGCTCAGAGACAGCAGAAAAAACACTAAAGCTCTGAAACTCAAGGGGAGACTCATCTCCATGAACTACAAAGTGGGGAAGATGCCAGCTGAGGGAGCAGATGGAGGCATGGCAGCCAAAAAACTATCATTGGAGTCTGGAGCGTAGAGAGTCTGGTGAGAGAGGGCTGGATGGGGCCAGTTAAGGCCTGTTTCTTACCATAGGGAATGTACATTCTATTCCTAAGGTGATAGGGAGCTGTCGAGGAAATGTAGGCAAAGGAATGGCTTAAACAGGCATTTTAAGTCAGTCTGGAGCATGTTTTGTGTGGCAGAGAACTTGGACGTGGAGGCAGAGAGTGGATTCGGCTGTTTGAATAGACTGGAAAGATGAAGAATACTAGAAAGGGCGGAGAAAGGGGAAATACTCAGGAGTCAGAATTGCCTGGCTAGAGTGAATGGTTTTCACGTAGCTGCTGAGGAAGAGGGAGGAACCTGAGGTACCTGTCTTAGTCCATTCTGCATTATAATACATCCTTGACACTGGGTGACATTATAAAGAAAGGGGGTTTGACTCACAGTTTTGAAGGGTCAAAGCACTCAGGTCTGAGAAATCCTCATGGCAGATGGGATCACAGGGCGGAAGTACATATGAAAGGGAATCACATCACCAGACAGGAAACCACAGACAGATTGATCTCACAGTCCCTTCCAAGGGGATGCCCCTAATTTACCTAAGGACCCCTCACTATGTTCCACCTCTTAAAAGTTCCACATTTCCTAACACAGCTATTTTGGGACTAAGTTCCAACATAGAAACTCTTGGAGAACAAAGTCAAACAATATCCAAAGTGTAGCAAACTGTCAGGTTTCTGACATGGGCAGTTGTTTGAAGGAAATGCCATGCACCAAGATAAAGAATTTGGAATAGAGAAATAGCTCGGTAGTTAAGAGCATGTACTGCTCTTGCAGAGAACCTGACACCCATAATCAGGTGGCTCACAGCCACCTATAACTCCATCTCCCACATAATTTAAAAATAATAGAAATAAATCTTTCAAAAAAAAGAAGAAGAAATAGAAGCCAAGCTATATAGGTTCTGAGGAGGGAGGAGGTAGGGTACAGTATTTATGTGAGGACTATGCTCACAGTTGAATAGTCCCAGGAGTACCTACCTCCATTGACTAGAGCTGCCTCCTGCCTTGCCTCTACTGTGTTTCCAGGACTGAGCACCAGGGCTCCCCTGGCTACCAGCCTGTGGTAGCGGATCCTTTGGTGTAGGGAGAGGCTGAAGCAGTGTGACGCAAAGCCACTGGGAGCCCTTCTACTTCGGTTGGGAAAATGCCAGATAGTACAGTGGAGCAGGAGCCTAGGAGACCAAAGCTTCCCGCTGAGTAACTTTAGGTCAACCATGGGTGATTTTGTCCCTCAGGGGACATTAACCTTGTCAAGAGACACTTTGGACTGGCAGGACTGGCAGGGTGGCACTGACATCTATTATGTACAGAGGGTTAAGTGCTCTTGTACATCCTGTTGTGTACAGTGGCCCCCCACCACAAGTGCTCAGCCTTAAGTGTCAGTAGTGTGGAGGTCCTGACACATCTCTAGTCTTTCCTTTTGAAAATTCTGCCAGACATGAAAGTTCATCTTCAGTACCTTGAACTCACTTCTTTGAATGTGTATGGAACGAAATATGCCTCATAACCTCTAAAACAAGATACAAATGGCTTTCTGCTAGTGAGAAATGATTTAAGATCTTTCCCCCTGCCTGTTTTTCTATTTGTTCTTAAGTTTGTTTCCTTAATTATTTATGCATTATAGTTAGAATTTCTGTAAAATAGTTCATAGCACCTGTGTATCCCTGGAGAAACCAAGAAGCCAAGTAAGATTGTATAGAAAATCAGCCTCTGACTACCATGGGAGAGTGGAGTCCACATGAACCTAGATCAAAGCGAGAAGGGAAACGGACTGCAGAGACAGATGTTGAGAAGTATCAGAACATAACTGGGGAGTCAGGAAAAATGCCTGTGCATAGGATGGCTTCTGGGGAAGCACCTAGAGTTTCTAAGTTCATTTTCTGCGTCTTCATTTTGGAAATCATTGTGTTTCAGAGGCTCCGAAAAGAAGGAAAAGAAAAGCCAGAACAGTAGAACCCAAAGACCCAGTGGAACCCAAGAAACCTGCTGAGTCAAAAAAACCTGGCAAGTCCGCAAAATCGAAAGAAAAGCAAGAAAAAATTACAGACACATTTAAAGTGAAGAGAAAAGTAGACCGTTTCAATGGTGTTTCTGAAGCTGAGCTTTTGACCAAGACTCTTCCTGATATTTTGACCTTCAATCTGGACATTGTGATTGTAAGAATTTTTGCCATTGTTTGATTTAATAAATAGCGTTGGAGGACTAACTTAACATTCATACTTGAAGCTAGTATTTTCCTGGAAGGAACCATTTCTGAGATTTTACGTAGTAAGTGGTGCCACCTCATGAAGTAGTGGTAGATGGGAGTGTTTAAGAGGGTGGACCTGAGACTGGGGCTGTTTGGGTTCAAATCCTAGAACAGGGTAGAGCCTTGGGAAAGCCTTTCTCTTTCTAACAGTTTCTTCATTGGTGAAACAGGTAATAATACCTCCCTCACAGGGTTGTGCTTAAATAAAAGAATCCATGTGACCCACTTAGATTACATGATATTTAGGAATATTCCATAGATGACAGACAGTACCGGAGTGGTTTTGTTTTTGGTTTTTTGATATTTTGAGACAGTTTCATTATGTAGCCCTAGCTGGATAATCCAGGCTGACTTCTGACTTGCAGCAGTACTAGCTGCCTCTGCTCCCACGTGCTGGGATTATAGGCATATGCTATCACACTTGGTTTGACAGAATTGATGTCAGTAACCGCCAGAAACATTAACACCTAATTAACTTCAGGTGGACAACTGTGTAGGCGTGGTGGAATAGGTTAATTTTGGGGAGTCAAGAACCAGGCCTATGGCAGGACGAGAGTCAGACTAACTGTTCCAAGACCTCTTTCATGACTGAAGGCAGCCTGCCTGCTTGAGGGTGAGCAGCCTGCACTCAGTAAGGGGTGAAGCTGGGTTTGAAAGCAGCAGTAAATCTCAGAAAGGATGTCTCAGTGTGCAGTAACTTGTTCAGATCAGCAGCAGGAATTGATAAGATGCTGAATTAAATTTGCATATTATCAGTTCAGTTTTATGTCCCACTCCTGCATAGAAACCCTAAAGATTAAGCCTGCCCCTTTTCTTTTTTTGTTTATTAACATACATTAATTATACAAAGCAGGCTTCATTGTGTTTCAAACATGTATATAATGTACTTTAATTGTATTCACCACCCCCCTTGCCCTCTTGTCCCTCCTCCCTGATCACTTTTTGTTCCCAAATACTCTACTTTCTATTTTCATGTCTTTTTAAAACCTCTATTTTTAAGACTTTTAAAATTAATTCTTTAAGAATTTCATACAACGTATTTTGACCATATTCACCCCATACTCCTAACTCCCTCATTCACCAGTACCTCCCTAACCACTCCTCGAACTTCATGTTCTTTTTTTTCAATTTTTAAAAATTATTTTATGTGTATGAGTATCTTGCTTGCTTTATATATGTACACCACCTACATACATGATGCCTGTGGAGGCCACAAGAGGGCATTGGCAAGACCAGCCTGGTCTAGTAGTGAGTTCCAGAATAGCTGGGGCTACAGGGAGACCCTGTCTCAAAAATACCAAAAAAAGAGGGCATTGGATCCCCTGGAACTGGAGTTATGGGCAGTTGTTAGCTGCCGTGTGGGAACCTAGGTCCTCTGCAAGAGCAGCCAGTGCTCTGGATGGCTGAGTCATCTCTCCAGGACCACCAACCCCCTGGGTTTTTTTGTTTGTTTTCATGGGGGAAAAAAAACACCCAAATTTATTCGGTATACTACATAGCATAGGGACATGGCAGTAACAGAACCTTGTCTTTTGTCAGAATTGTGCATATGGAAAGTAATGCAATACTTGTCTTTGTCCACTGAGCCCTACTTTTAAGGATTAAAGTGTCTAATTACTGTGTTTGTAGATTGGCATTAACCCAGGACTGATGGCTGCTTACAAAGGGCATCATTACCCTGGACCTGGAAACCATTTTTGTAAGTGTCTAGTTTTTTTTCCCATTAATTGCTTTAAAATGAGGTATTTTTATTAATAGGGTGTTTAAAGGATATTTTATTTATTATGTGTATGAGTGTATTGCCTGCGTGTGTGCAAGTACACCCATGTCATACAATGCCTGTAGAGGTCAGAGATGAGCGTCAGATCCCCTGGAACTGGAGTTACAAACGGTTGTTAGCTGCCATGTGGGTGCTGGAAATCAAACCCAGGTCTTCTGCAAAAGAAGTCGGTGCTTTTAACTGCTGAGCCATCTCTCCAGTCCCTTAATAGGCTTTTTAAACAATTGTTTTTAAAAAGAAATAATATGAATAAATACACATTCATATTTCTTTCTCTTTTTTTCTTAGTGTATACATGAAAATCAAGGGTCTGAAATGATGTGTCACTGTTAACATTTTGGTGTTAATGGAGAGTGGAAGGGCGTGAAAAAGTGTGGAGCTGAGTATCAGACCCAGGGCCTTGAGCATGCTAAGCTGCATTCCACAACTCAACTTTCTCTTTGCTCAAACTGTTTTCAGAGTTTTCCTGATTTTTGTTTAAAGTAATTTTAAAATATTATTGCTGGTCATGTTGGTGCATGCCTTTAATCCCAGCACTCAGGAAGCAGAGGCAAGCAGATCTCCGTGAGGTCAAGGCCAGCTTGGGCTACAAAATGAGACCCTGTCTCAAAAACACAAGAAAATTATTGTCCACAGATCTAGTTACAGTAGTGGATTCTTGTGACGGTGTAGACAAAGTGTTGACTCTCCTGGACTCAGTGTTACTTCCTTAGAGAGATGAAATGCATAGATCGTTGGATATCAGTTGTATATGAAATGCTGTGGTTTGAGGCATTCTCTATCCACTTCCAGTCTAGCAGGAGATAACTGAGAGTGGGCTTTAAGAGTGAGTACTGCTGCTGCTGTATTGCTCTATGTATTTAAGTTGCACATACAAATCCTTTCACACTCCTCAGAAAGTACTAATTGATTAAGAGTAATACTACAGACGTTTAGACTAAGTAATACTGTGTTTTTGTAACTCGTGACATACTGTCCCCATTTTTTTAAAGATTTCGAAGGAAGTGTGATCTGTTTCATTTCCTCCACTGTCAAAGTGATTGAGTGTGTTTAGTATGTTGTTGTATGTCTATCTGAGGGGGAATCCAAGGGTAGGTGGTAATGTTACCAAGTATTAGGAAAGAAACAGTTTGAGACTGTTCTCAGACAGGCATTTGCCTTAACCACCTGTGCAAAGGAGGTAATAGTTTCTTACAGGAAAATTATGGTGAATGAAATCATCCACAGAGATTAGCATAGTGTCCAACTTAGAGTGCTTAGTGTAGTGTTCGACCTAGGTTGTACCTTTTAGTGTACACTAAAGCCTTTTCTTCCCTCAGTTTGAGGAACAGAATGTCTACTACTCTGTCAGTTCTTGGGTAAAAGCCTTCCCCCTCCTGCAGAAATAAACCAGGTGCTCTTTTCACAGGGAAATGTCTGTTCATGTCAGGGCTGAGTGAGGTCCAGCTGAATCATATGGATGATCACACCTTGCCTGGGAAGTACGGCATTGGATTTACCAACATGGTGGAAAGGACAACACCGGGCAGCAAGGATCTTTCTAGGTAGTTACAGAACGTGTATCTTTAAGGGCTGGCACCTGGACTGTGCTGGCACCTTATGTCATCTAGGAAAATTGTATGGTTCTAATCAGACCAAGCTCAACAAATAAAAATGTGACTTTTTGTTGAAAGCTGCCTGAATGTAACATATTGCAAATATTGATATATTTGTGTGTTTTACTACTTTTTAATTCTAGTAAAGAATTTCGGGAAGGAGGACGTATTCTAGTACAGAAGTTGCAAAAATATCAGCCTCGAATAGCAGTGTTCAATGGAAAATGTAAGATTTGCTTTAAACTTTGTATCTTTTCTCTTTATCTGATGTCAGGGGCTCTGTTAAATGTGTTTGGATTTTGTTTTAGGTATTTATGAAATTTTCAGTAAAGAAGTTTTTGGAGTAAAAGTTAAGAACTTGGAATTTGGGCTTCAACCCCATAAGATCCCGGACACAGAAACTGTAAGTCTTCTAAAGGAACTTGTCAAGCAGCTGCTAGGAACTTTCTTTTAACTTGTCCCCTCCCCCATTTTTTTTAACATCCTGTACACTGTAGTTTATGCCATGAGAAGTTCCAGCTTACACTAATAGTTAACGAATTAGTTCAGATGCAGTTAGACTTTTATTAGAAAGAAAATATCTGTCAAGTGACTGTCAGAGGAACTGACTCACTAGAGTATCCTCAACGGCAGTGACTTAGAAATTCTTAAGTACAAGCATTCCTAAAAATACAGTAGAAGAGACTGGAGGGATGGCTCAGCGGTTAAGAACACTGGCTGTTCTTGCAGAGGACCCAGGTTTGAATCCCAGCACCCATATGGCAGCTAACAACTGTACATAACTCCAGTTCCAGGGGATCCGTAACTCCAGTTCCAGGGGATCTGACAGCTTCTTCTGTCCTCCACAGGCATTCCACAACATGGTTGCACTTACCTACATGCAGGGAATACACGCATACACATAAAATAAAAATAATAAATAAAATATTTTAAAAATACGATAGAAAATTCTTAAAAACTTAAAATACAGAATGATCCTGATTAGTAGAGCTGACTTCCTCAATTATATATCTTATTCCAACGTAATTTTAGAGCCATACATGCCAGATGCATCCATCCTACCCTGCCATTTGGTTTGATATACAAAGGCATTAGGAAATACCTCAGTGATTTTCAAACTATTACTTCCACAGGGTTTCTGTAGATAATTGGTTTCAATTTTGTTCACTTTCTTCTTCAGCATTTAAGTGTAGGTTTTTGTTTGTTTTGCTTTATTTTATTTTGTTTTTTGTTTTGTAATGCTGGGGATGGAACCTAGGTCTTTGTGCCTGCCAGGCAATTACTCTACCACTGAGCTATACCCTAGTCTTCATAAGTAGTCTTAAGTTTTGTATGCAGCTTTCTTTTATTATTTTTTATTTATTTATTTTTATGTGCAGTACTGAGGATTGAACCTAGAACCTTACAGTGCTATGCAAGTGCTCTACCACTGATCTCTCATGTCTCCATTCCTGTTTTTACTTTTTATTTTGAGTCAGGGTCTCACTAAGTTGCCCAAGCTGGCCGTGAATTTACTCTGTAGCCCATACAGTCTTTGAACTTGCCATCCTCCTGCTTCAGCCTCCTGAGATTACATAGGCCTGTGCTACCAGGCCCACTCTCTATGCAACTTAAAAAAAAAAAACCCATACAGTGCATAAGTCAACACATTGAGTGTACATTTTATAAGCTTGAGACTAACACACTGCCTGCTATGCTAAAGAGACAACTTACACAACATATAAGTGATGGAGAAGCCACTGTGCTGCCAGGTTTCAGGGAGACAAGAATAAAGCCTTTGCCACCTAAAGCAGTTTCTACTACTTTTTTTCCCGTTATCTGCGTTTTTATTAAATATACTCAGGTAGTAAAACCTGAAATTTACGAATTTATTATCCATGCTATAATTGAATTGTATAATGAACAGGCCTCAGACAAAAAATGATGACCTCATCAATCAATATAAAAGCTGTATTACTGAATACTACTAAAGACAACAGGTCATTTATTTGTTAATTCTCCCAGTCTGGTTTCAACTACTTTTAAAATTTCAATTTTTTTTCTGATTGCCTATAAAATAATGCAATTACTATCCTACTTTGCTTTCTGTTGTTGTACTAAACACCATGATCAAAAGTAACTTTGGGAGGAGAGGGTTTATTTCAATTTACAGATCACAGTCCTTTATTGAGGGAAGCCAGAACTAGAACTCAAGGCAGGAACCTGGAGGCAGGCACTAAAGCAGAGACCATGGAGGAGCCCTGCTTGCTGGCTTGCTTCCCCGAGCTTGCTCAGCTACCTTTCTTACACAGCCCAGGCCCAGCTGCCTAGGGATGGTACTGTCCGCAGTGGGCTGGGCCCTCCCACATCAACTAGCAACCAAGATAATCTCCCATAGATTCCCCGTAGGCCAGCCTGGTCTGCGCAGTTCTTCAGTTGAGGCTCTCTCTTTCCAGGTGACTCTAGGTTTATGTCAAGTTGACAGCTGAAGCTAACCTTGACAGTGAGTTAGATTATGGCATTGATTTTTTTTTTAATGGAGACCATATCAATTTGAATCATATCTTATAAGAAGTTTTAACTGTTACAATGACCCATGAGTGCATTTATCTTTTTTATTGAAAAAAAAAAAAAAAAAAAAAGTATTGGCCTATTGATGCCATTGTAAAAAACTTTTTTTTTGGGGGGGGGCGTTCTTTTTGAGACAGGGTCTTCCTGTAGTTCCAGCTGCTTGGAACTCACTATACAGACCAGGCTGGCCTCGAACTCAGAGATCTACCTGCCTCTGCCTCCCGAGTGCTGGGATCAAAGGCGTGCGCCACCATGACCTGCTGTAAAAATTTATATGTGGTTAAGTATCTGCCTATTAAACCAAATAAAGATAAGTTTTTCTAACCTTAGTATGAGTAGATTTAATTAAATGGTAAAATTCTGAAACTATAGACGTTTGTGATTCCAGCTCTGCTATGTTATGCCGTCGTCCAGTGCACGATGTGCTCAGTTTCCCAGGGCGCAGGACAAAGTTCACTACTACATTAAGCTGAAAGACTTGAGGGATCAGCTGAAAGGCATTGAGCGAAACACAGATGTTCAGGAGGTGCAATATACATTTGACCTACAGCTTGCCCAAGGTTTGTAACTGTTCGCACTCTTGATTTCTTGTGTATATGCATACCAGAAAGGAAGTTGAAGATTGAAAAGCAAAAGAAAATAGCTATTGTAGCCAGTGTTCTAATAACAGATGCTATCCCTGTTTAGATCTTGTACCAAGGTTTTCTATCTACTCTCTTACCCACATACCTTGAGGGTCTAAAACATCGTACTTGCCTAAAATTGAATCTGCTGGGGTTTTGCAATTCTTGGGAGTTAGTGTATGCTGCAGAGTTTAGAAAATGATAGCAATTTGATGAAGAAAAAAACTAATAAAAATAACATAAAAAATAGAAATAAGCCGCATGAGGTGGCACATGATTGTAATCCCAAGACTCAGGGACAGTCAAGTCTCTATGAGCTTTAGGCAGCTTGGTCTCCATTGGGAGTTCCAGGTCCACTGGGGCTACAGGAAGACCATTTTAAAACAAAAAAAAAAATCCTTAAAAATAAATAAAAAGGTATAGCAAATGACATAACTCAGCTGTATGTGCATACACAGCTCTTACACAGCAGTTCAGTCCTTTTTTACCCTTCCCACAGAGGATGCAAAGAAGATGGCTGTTAAGGAAGAGAAGTACGATCCGGGCTATGAAGCAGCGTACGGCGGTGCTTATGGTGAAAACCCATGCAGTACTGAGCCTTGTAGCTTCTCAAACGGGCTAGGTATGTTTCCCTCCAGATGTGCACCTTCCAAAGGATTGGGGCAGGGGGAGTGCCATAGCAGCAGAGAGTGATTACCGAAGAGTAATAGTAGCCGTCTACAAATGTAATTAGTGACCAGTGATGAAAATGTGATTGCCAAGCAGTACTGAACCGCACAGATTTTTCACAGCTCACGTTCTTAAGTCATGACTTCTATACCAACCAACCTGCATTTTCCTCCTTGAATAACAAATGAGGGCTGACCACTCCTCTATCCGAAAATCAAATAGAGACTTAGCATTGTTCTAAGAAACTTGCTAAGCATTTTAATAATTCTCCTTTGTTGCACTTTTGAAATGTGCCATTTGGCTGGGTGTGGTGGCACACACCTTTAATCCCAGCACTTGGGAGGCAAAGGCAGCAGGATCTCTGTGAATTAGAGGTCAGCCTGGACATTATAGCGAGTTCCAGGCTAGAGACAATCCCTGGGACTACAAGGAGACCCTGTCTCAAAACTGTAATAGCAACAAAAATAAATAAATAAAATCTTGGGCTGAAGAGATGGTTCAGCAGTTAAGAACACTGACTGTTCTTGCAGAAAACCCGGGTTCGAATCCTAGCACCCACACATGGCAGCTAATAGCTGTCCGTAACTCCAGTTCCTGGGGATCAACAGCCTCTTCTGTCCTCCATGGGCATTGTACAACACAGGTGCACTAACTTACATGCAGGCATAAATAATAAATAAAATAATAAAAAATAAATAAAATCTCCATCTAGATCATTTGAGACTTGAAAATAAGCTAGCATTCTTTTCCCTTCCCAGCACCCACCAGTTCAGAGTCAAGAGGAGAATCCGCTCTCAATGACATTCCAAATGGGCAGTGGATGACACAGCCATTCACAGACCAGATTCCTTCCTTTAATAACTGTGGGGCGCAGGAGCAAGAAGAAGGAAGCTGCATTTAAGGACGGTGCTTCCCAGCCCCACCACAGTGCTGCAGTTTTAATGCAGTTGTCAAGACATAGAACCTCAGTGTGCTAACTGGTATTTTAGTATTGACAGTACTTTAATGGTGTAACTATAGTACAGAACAGTTGTATGGTAGAATCAACTGTCTGAGTCTAAGTAGTTTGGAAGAAAAAAGTAGGGGTTTTGTATATGAGCTTTTGTATTTGAATTAACTATCATTCCAGCTTTTCATATGCTACATTTCATTTATGAAGAAACTGATTTTCTTTGAGGAATTACTTTGATCTGTAATTTTTTTTTTTTTTTTTTGAGACAGGGTCTCCCTGTAGCCCCAGCTGTCCTGGAACTTGCTATGTAGACCAGGCTGGCCTTGAACTCACAAAGATCCACCTGCCTCTGCCTCCCAAGTGCTGGGATTAAAGGCGTGTGCCCGGCTGATCTGTAATTTTTAAGGGCAACAGTCTGAATATTTGCAGTTGAGTCTCCACTGTGCATATCTCCAGATATCCCTTTTAATGCCCAAGAAGGGTATGCCAAGAGTCTCACTGGTAGAGAGGCAGATGGGCTGATTCTATCTACAAAGCCGACTAATCTCAGTGGAGTCTGGTTTTTTTTGGTGACCGAGGGTAAACTCGGGGCTCCCTGAGTTGTAGTCGCACTCAGCCTCTTTACTTTCCCAGTGGTGTGTGTGAGAGTTGCTTAGTTATCAGATGCCCCGAGTATAGCCTTCCCTGCACGGCCTTGAGCCCTGCCTTTGGTCTCCTACACCTTTGTTAATCTTCTAGCAGGCAGAAACTGTTCTGCTGAGCTGGTGGGTTCCTGAGACTGCAGTAGACCTACAGCTGTCACTCATCTGTGGTTTACTCGATGGGAAAGGACCTGCATTTCCCTATCAGTGGTTATCACTTTCTATTTTTATCCTCCTTGGCTATAAGGTTGTGGCATGGAAAGTTCTAAGAAATGAACTTTCAGTGTGAGCAACAAGATGCTGGAGTGTTTAATAACATTTAAACTGGTGCTGCATGTACATGAGATGTACTAAAATAATGCAAAACTTTTCTTGCTAGGTAAAGTTAATTTAAAAACTTCTTTCTGTGCATCATTGCTGTTGCCATGGACTACGTGAAAAGGTTGTTTGGAGTTATATACCTTTGTGGTTTTCTACTGCATTTTCCATGGTGCTACAAATGGTCCAGACCATTAGGGCTGGATGTTAAAGCTGGGTGTTCAGAACTCCTATTTACATTCACTCCTGATCACTCCTGATTATCTGATTTTATGCATACCCAGGGAGCATGCAGTTTTAGCGATATGAAATGACAGTGAGGTTTTTATACTCCCCACAGGAAGTTGTAGCCTGTTCTATTTATAATAAGAGAAACAATTTCTTGTGACTCTTAATATGCCTTTTAGCTGTGGCAGTGATGGATTTTATTTTTCCTTAAGTCTAGGTCACGCTGTGTGTAAGTCATTCATGTTATTTAAATGGTGCACTGTACTGTTTACATGGACATTTTGTGCAGGTGCTTTGAAGTGCCTTGCATCAGGGATTAGGAGCAATTGAATTATTTTTTCATGGGAATATGTAAAGCATGTAACTAGGTATTGCTTTGGTATATAACTATTGTAGTTTTACCATAGAGTTCCTTATTTGAGTGGAGAAAATATCCTTAAATTATGGCAAACACTCACTAGAATGGGTGTGAGGATGTTCCAGGTATACAATCGTGGTGTTTTTCATTGAAATGAAAGATGAGTAGTAAATGTTGGTGTGTCCTGTACTGACAGGATGGGAGATTTTCATTAATACTGAGAGATTTTTAAATTCATATGAAAGTCTGATGGTTTTTACAATAAATATTAAGAATGGCTATGCTTAAGGTGCAGGCTTTTTCTGTAGCAGGACTTAATGGTATTCTTTCCCCCTGAGGACAGTTTGCTTTCTGTTATGTTTAACATGTACAATAATACATGAGGAAAATCATTAAAATGTGCATATTTTCTTTTTACAAACATCTCTATATTTTTTAATCTTTTTAAAATTTATTTTATGTGTAGAAGTGTTATGCCTGCATGTAAGTAAGTGCATCCATGTCAGGCAATGTCCAAAAACAGAAGAGGGCATCAGATGCCCTGGAATTAGAATTTCAGACAGTTATTAGTCACCATTTGGGTGTTGGAATTTGAAACCAGGTCTTCGGCAAGAATAGCCAGTGCTCTTAAACACTGAGCCGTCTCTCCAGTCCCCGACATCTTTATTTTTAAATTTTTTTTAAAAATTTTATGTGTATGCGCGTATTGTCTGCATGTAGATAAGTGCATCTGTGTCATGCAATGCACGTGGAAGACAGAAGAGGCTGTCAGATCCCCTGGAACGGGAGTTACGGACAGTTGTTAGCTACCATGTGGGTGCTGGGATTCGAACTTCAGTCCTCTGCAAGAATAGTCAATGTTCTTAACCTCTGAGCCATCTCTCCAACCCCTTCTTTTCTTTCTTTTTTTTAAAATTTTTTTTGGCATCTATATTTTTTAATTCAGTGACTTTTATAAAAGACGATATTGTTTTCAAAAAAACCTGCAGCTGGGTGTGGTGATGTACATCTTTAATCCCAGCTCCCAGGAGACAGAAGCAAGCAGATTTCTATGAGTTCAAGGCCAGCCTGGTCTACATAGTGAATTCCAGGCCAGCCAAGGCTATATCGTAGTGAGACCCTATCTCAACAACAACAAAAACTTGCATGTGAAAAATCAGAGAATTTTTAATTTTTTGGCTATAATTGTCATTGTTCAAATGATACATAGTGAGACCCTATCTCAGAAGAAGAGAGAGACCCAGTTATCACTTGTACTTCAAGAAGCTAAATCTGCCTATATGATCCAAGGTACAACTTGTACACAGTAGTTTTTATTTCTTTTATTGGGGATCACATATATCAAAGGTATGATATGTTCATAAACAACAAAGTTAGCGTAGGCTACAAAGGGGAAATTCCGATTTTATCCAGGAATTATTTTAAATATTGGATTGTATCAGCTGTTGTGATTGAGTTTAAATATCCCTGCAGGGTCTGGAACAAACCAGCTTTCCCATAAGTCTTTGTGAACACTAGGAAAATCCCAGGGTTTATGTCGTCCATTCCAGTGGAGTAATTTAGCTTCTTGCAGGAAATGTTCTGAATATCTCTCATCAGAATTCCAGCCTTCAGTGTATACAGAAGAAAAGAATAGGCTCGTTAGAGAATACAATTTTTATGTTAAAAATTGGACATAAGTCCATGGCAAGTTTTCAATTAGCAATAATCACACCCCAGATAAACCTTTGACTGTGATACTCCCACTATGCAAAGCTACAAGTTCATTGTTTAAAATAAACTAAAGGGTTATTCAGTGAAGATATATTAATATTGCCATTGCTCAGAGTATTTCTGTACTACTTCTAGAAGATCATGCAAATGCAGTTTATAAAAACTAAATATCCTCTGCTGTTAAAATTTCTTTCCATCAAAGGGAATTTTAGACACAAACACTTGTGCATTTCAGTGACTAAGAAGAGAGGATGACTAGCCAAGGTTGTATTATTCCATTGTATGCTGTTAATAACAGAACCTGGCTTTGTTAGTCATGAGCATGGGCATGAAGACAGCCATAATAGAGGAGATAGTTACTGTAAGCAGTAGTTACTGCGAGCTGTGTTCTCATAACTGAATAATTAACCGTTTCTAGTGACTCTGCACAAAGGAAACCCACATCTGGGAAGAGGCACTTTGATGTCAAAAGCCAACGGAGTAAGGCTTCTTCACCTCAGCTCCATGACCCTCAGAAGGGTGTGTTTGGGAGATGAAATTGCTTTAGCTAAATTTGTTTTATAGGTGTTATTTATTTACTTATTTTTGGGGTTCTGGGGATCAAACCCAAGACCTTCCACATATATTTTATAATTTTAAAAAAGTGTCTTCCAGGCCGGGCGTGGTGGCGCACACCTTTAATCCCAGCACTCAGGAGGCAGAGGCAGGTGGATCTCTGTGAGTTCAAGGCCACCCTGGTCTACATAGCATGAGTTCCAGGCTAGCTGGGGCTACAGGGGGATCCTGTCTCAAAAACACCAAAAAAAAAAAAAAATTGTCTTCCTCTTTAGACCCAAACTTAGTATTCCTTAGTGGTAACATTGCTTTCCAGACCCAAAACAACAGTAAACCAAGTTGTTTTTCAGTATGATTGCCCTATAGATTGATAGTGCAGGCCCACTTGATTTCACACCCTACAAAGAAAAACAAATTCTTTTCTTCTGAAGATTGTTTCTTCTTGACAGTAGATATTTCACAAGGTATAATTCTGAGTCTTTGCTTTATGATCATAAGCTGCTCTGTCCTTTTTCCCTTTTTGTATGTGTCTGTGGTGTTTGTGTGTATAGGCAATATTCATATGTGTGTGGAGGCCCAAAGTTGATGTGAGGTTTCTTTCTCGGTTTCTATCCACTTTATCAAAACAAGGATCTCTCACTTAAACCCAGGACTTGCCAATCATGTCTAGTCTGGGTAGCCAGCTTGCCCCCAGAATCCCAGCTCTGCCTCCTGAGCAATGGGCTACAGGTGGCCATCACATTTGTTTGACTTTTCCATGGGTTCCAGGAATCCGAGCTGCAGTTCTTATATTTGCACAGCAAGTGCTTTTATCTGCTGAGCCATCTCCCCAGCCCAGCTCTAAGCACCATATTGCTGTTCTTACAAATACGTTATTGACCTCCACTTTGATGGGATTCCCTGCACATGGAAATGGTGAGATTTGGCTAAACAGTGGACATTATAATTCAAATTGAATGACATTCTAGTGCCCCTGGGTTCCTTGCCTTACACTTACTGGTGCATATGCTCAGGAAAGCCAGAGGGGGGATAGTGCCCCTGGGTTCCTTGCCTTACACTTACTGGTGCATATGCTCAGGAAAGCCAGGGGAGGGGGATTTTGGGAATGGCGTACGTGCCGTCTATGCAGTATTATTGAGAGGAAATGGGAACTCAGTTTGCCCAGTTGCATCTGACTTTACCTTTATCTTTTCTTTTTTTTTGGGGGGGGGGGGTGTTTGAGAGAGGGTCTACCTATAATCCCAGCTGGCCTAGAGCTCACTATGTAGACCAGACTGGCCTTGAACTCAAATCTGCCGGCCTCTGCCTCCCAAGTGCTGGGATCAAAAACCAGGCCTGGCTCTTTTTTTTTTTTACTTAAAAAGGGATGCAACTCTTTACACAATAATAAGAACTAGTGTGAATACTTTCTTCCTATAACCAGCTCAGTTTTTTTCTCTTTTATTATTTTTTTTAATGTGTGTGTTTTGCCTGCATGTATTTAAATGTACCCATGTCATGCAATGATTGCGGCAGTCAGAAGAGAGTATCGGATTCCCCAGAACTGACGTTATGGATGGTTGTTAGCCACCCTGTGGGTGCTAGAAATTGAACCCATATCCTCTGCAAGAGCAGCCAGTGCTGTTAACCTGAGCCATCTCTCCAGCCCCACCTAGCTCAGTTTTTTCCAATATAATGTGCACCTGATAAATTCATTCTGCTCATTGGCTCCAATTCTTAGTTGGTCTTAAAAACAAAAGGGGCTGGAGAGATGGTTCAGTGGTTAAGAGCACTGACTGCTCTTGCAGAAGACCTGGTTCAATTCCCAGCACCTACATGGCAGCTACTAACCGTCCTTAACCCCAGTTCCAGGGGAATCTGAAGCCCTCTTCTGACCTCCGCGGCATTGCCCGACACGGGTGACTCACATACAAGCAGGCGATACACTCATTACCATAAAATAAAAATAATAAATAAAATAAAATTTTTTAAAAAGTAAGGTTTCAAAATATCTCCTGTAGGGGGCTGGAGAGATGGCTCAGTGGTTAAGAGCACTGACTGCTCTTGCAGAGGACCCAGGTTTGATTCCCAGCACCCACATGGCGGCTACAAACCATCCTTAACTCCAGTTCCAGGGGAATCCGGAGCCCTCTTCTGACCTCCTCTGCATTGCACTACACAGGTGCGCTCACAGACATGCAGGCAATACACTCATACATATAAAAAATAATAATAATAAGTATATTTTTTTAAAAAATAGCTCCTTTGGCAGGTGTTACTTGCTGGATCTCATGTAGCCCAGACTGGCCTCCAACTTGCTAGGTAGCTGAAGGTGACCTTGAACTTCTGATCTTTCTGCCTCTGTCAATGCTGGGATTCCTGGTGTACACCACCAGGTTTTTGGTGCTCAGAATTGAACCCAGGATCTCCTCCATGCTATGCAGCACTTGCCATCTGGGCTATACATCCCTAGCCCCACATGTTTTTATTTATTGAAATCCAAAACATTTCTAATATAAACAAGTCTGGCCCAGTGGTTTCAGATAAGGGCTTCATTTGCTGGAATGAATGTCTTCTGTACTAAGTAATTTATATGTATTCCTTATGCTAATAAAACTTTATCAGATGCTGTTAGCTTCAATTTACACAGGAGTTGAGTCACCTGCTCAAGATCATGTAATAGCATAGTTGTAGGACTGGGGCTGCAGCTCAGTGATAGGGCATATGCATACTATGAGGCCCTGGGTTCAATCTCCAGTACCACAGAACAAAGGCTATCCATACTCTATAGAGTTTGCGCTCCTACAGTGAAGAAAAGAATGCCAAAGGTTCTCATAGGAGAGTCAGTAAGCAACTGCTTTTTAAAGACATTTGGGAGCTGAGTGTATGCTGCCTAGCACGCATATGGCCCTGGATTCAGTCCTCAGTGTCGTTCCCCCCCCCCCCAGCATTAAAATGCCATCTGAAGCTATGTTATGCCATCATACTACGTCATTAGGTTTGGTCCACTGTAGGCCATTGCAAGAAAGGATCTGGAATGATGCGAGCTCTAGCTCAGTCATAGGTCATTGCGTACCTAACTATACACTAAGCATTAGTACCCCTCAGGCAATGAAGGATGCCGTTTTGCACCTGCATGGTCTGAGCCTGAGGGTTAAGTGGCCTCCTCCAGGGTCACCCCAGGGGTTTGAATTGAGAATCCAGGAGCTATGGCACAGCCCCGTTCCTCACTAGAGACATAAAACGCACACTTGTATTGTTTCTAAAATACTTACCCAGGTGTCTGATGTGCCACAGAGGGTTGATGGTGGAATATTTCCCATGAAATACAATCAGCATTGGGGAGGTGGCCACCCCTCCTCCCAGGGAGCTGCTGTAGAGGTTTTCTCTAGGAAATGGGATAGAAAAGCACATTTGGTCTGCAGCCCTCACAAACACAAAGTAGACACTAACAGAGTTCTTTCAAAAAAATATGTAAGGCTTTTCCTTCACTAAACAACCACTTTTCTCCAACTTTTATTTTTTATTTAGGGTTTTTTGTTGTTTGAGACAGGGTCTTATGTGGCCCAAACTGACCTTGAGCTCTCTAGATAGCTGAAAATGACCTTGAAGTCATCCTTCTGCCTCCACTTCCCACACGCTGGGATTATAGATGTGCATCATGCCCCGCTCCCAACTTTATTTTGAAAATTGTTAAACCATACAAAATTGTAGAAAACCAAGCACTCCCATACATATCACATAGAATCCACCTCCCATGGATACCACAGTCACAGGCTCTTGTGTAAATCAAAGAGCTCAATCTCCAAGCATCACCTAGGGTCACAGACTCCCATGTACATCACCTAGGTTCAGGTGTTAATATGTGTTAGTATTTTGTCACTTTATTTTTTTTTAATTTTTTTTATGTGTATGCGTGTATTGCCTGCATGTAGGTAAGTGCACCCATATCGTGTAATGCCCACACAGGAGAGAAGAGGCTCTCGGACCCCCTGGAACTGGAGTTACAGACAATTGTCAGCTGCCGTGTGGGTGCTGGGATTTGAACCTGGGTCTTTTGCAAGAACAATCAGTGTTCTTAACTGCTAAGCCCTCTCTCCATCCCTGGTATTTTGTCACTTTAACTCTTAGGGTTTTTTTGATAGACACAGAAAATAAAACTGATATTATTTAGAGTAACTTAACAAGTTCAAAGTTATGGTAGTATTAAAATAGATAAAAGGCTGACAGGAAATACAATTGAGGGACTAGACGTTAGCCAAGTGTCTTAACTGGAAGATAAGGAAAGGGCCAGTGATAAACAACAAGGATGGCAAACTTCTGGCTCCTTTCTCACCTCACTCTCCGACAAAGAGACATGCTTGGCAGGCTTTTTCTCCCACTGGCAGGGCCATTTCTCCCCCTATGCCCCCACCCACCCCCTTCCAATTGTCCAATCTAGACAAGTCCAAGGTCAGTCCTAGACATACCTGAGCTTGGAGCTATGAGCCTATCAGCTCTCTCTTTTTTAAAATTGATCAACCCAAATTAGGGAGAGGGACCCATCCCATACCACCAAGAACACTTAGAAGACAATCCCAGCAGAGGAGGCAGAGGCAGGTTGGATCTCTGCGAGATTGAGGCCAAGCCTGGTCTACATAGGACAGCTGGAGCTACAGGGAGACCCTGTCTCAAAAAACAAAACAAAACACCAAGCAAAAAACCATGTAAGCCCTCCTAGGGACTTTACATTTTGGTTTCCAAATCCTGTCTACTTGTGGAGAGCCGTTTCTTTGTGAGTGTGTGTATATGTGCCTGTTTCTTTACTTTTTGTTTGTTTGTTTTTTGGTCTTTTTGAGACAGGGTCTTCCTGTAGCCCCAGCTGGCCTGGAACTCACTATGTAGACCAGGCTGGCCTTGAACTCACAGAGATTTGCCTGCCTCTGCCTCCTGCGTGCAGAGATTAAAGGCATGCTCCATCACACCCGGCTGTTTCTTTACTTTTAATAAAGTTTGTTGCCTGCTATGTTTAAGAGTCTTCCTGCCTTTTAATATTCCTCTCTCTCTCTCCCTCTCCCTCTCTCTCTCTCTCTCTCTCTCCCTCTCAGACACACACAGTTTTTTCTCTCTCTCTCCCCTCCCTCCCTCTCAGACACACACAGAAATCTATGAAACAGAAACTCAACCATAAATTAAGATTTTCAGCAGAAAAAAATCAAGTCACATTTTTTAACAACTTATTAAGAAAATGCATGATATGAGAATCCTTGTCCACAGTATCTCCATTCTTCAGATTTATTTCATTTGGGGAAAGATTTTCGTCTGTGCCCTCTTTTTCTTTCTTTCTCAACAAGAGACTCTGTAAGAAAATCTGACTTCAGATATCTGAAATATTCTTAACCCCCTAAACTGTGCATAGAAAATTAGCTGAGTCACTTTGTTCCCAAGCCTGGGAACAGTGGCAGTAGACCACACATACATACTCCACATTTTTTTGCATCCATTTCTCCAACTGTTTGGTGATACGCTGGTGCTTCCATTCGGTCATATTGGCAACAATCACACCAGGATTGAAAGAGCAGGTGCTGGGGCTGATGCCAAGGTCCTTGATGGTCTTCTTCCGGTAGTCCAGATAGCCCATGTATGTGTTCTACAAAAGAACAGAATGGAATATTTTTAATTTTAATTTTTTTGTGTGAACATCATACATGAGTATAGTCTGCTCCATTTTTGTCCTCCCCAGCCCCCCTCCATGTCCCCCCAACTCCCTCTTAATTTCCTGTCCCCTTCCTTGATTGCCTGCAGCTCTTCATCTTGAGGTGGGACCCCTTGAAATTCTTCCCATCTACCTTGGCATGTCAACTGATTTTGTCACAGACCTTGTTAGATGACCACACTATGGAGATTTCAAGGTGTAGCTTCCCTTTCATGTCTAGATTCCTTTAGTAGCAGCCGGTGGCTTGCTCCCTGGTTCTAACACTCTACCTCCCTCCCCGCCCCACCTTCCATCATGTTCCCTGAGTCTTCAACGTAGAGTTGCATTGTAGATGGGTTACTTAGGGCTGGGCACCTCACAGTCACTTTTTAAAGGTTTATTTTTTATTTTATGTGTAAATGTTTTGCCTGAATACATACATACCTGGTGTATGTTAGTACCTGTGCTGGATAGCTTTAGTGTCAACTTGACACACCTGGGTTGAGGGAGCCTCAGTTGGGGAATTGCCTCTATTGGACTGGCCTGTGGCCATGTCTGAGGGGCATCTTCTTGATGAGAGATGTGGGAGGGCCCAGCGCACTGTGGGTGGTGCGACCCCTGGGCAGGTGGGCCTGTGTTGCATAAGAAAGCAGGCTGAGCAGGGGCCAGGTGAGCAAGCCAGTAAGCAGTGTTCCTCCATGGCCTGTGCTCCTCCAGCTCCTGCTTCCAGGTTCCTGCCCTGAGTTCCTATCTTGGGCTCCCTGATGAACTGTGACCTGGGAGATGTAAGATAAATAAAGCCTTTCCTCCCCAGGTTGGTAGTGTTCAGAGTGTTTTTTCACAGCAATTGAGAAACAAACTAGGACAGTACCCAAGGAGGCCAGAAGAGGGCAACTGAGCTGCCATGTAGGTGCTGGGAACGGATATAGTTCGGTAGTACAGCATTTGCCTAGCATAGCATGTGGGAGGCCATGGGTTTGGTTCCCAGAAACACACACACACACACACACACACACACACACACACACAGGCCAGAGTTCCAAACATGGACAGTACACCTCTACCACTTGACCCCATTACTTCTCCAACTTCTGTTACTTTCTACCTTGATTCATCTGCCATGCCAAACTAAGCGCCTTTAGCACATCAGACCACTGGACACACTCATCTCAGGACCTCTGTGTTTGCTAGTGCTTCTTCCTGAATGCTTTCCTCTAAATAGCTGCATAGGAGCCTCCCTCAAGTCCTTCAGTTATCAGCTCAAACAGCCCTGTCCCAATGGAGCCTTCCTTCGACCCCTGTCTAAATTCAACCTCACCTCCACCCCAATCTTCTATTAACTATTTTACCTGCTTACTGTGATACTGTATGTCTCCTGTCTCTTGATTACAAGCTAACAAAAGTCAGAAAGCTTAGTGCTGTGTACTGTGTAACCAGCACCCAAAACAGTGTCAGCTCCATGGCAAGGCTTCAGTGCTTGCTGAGTGAAGGAAGTGTAAGACTAGACATGTTTTTTTCTACTGCTACATATCTACCTCAGTGGGATGCTGTGACATAAGCGTAATGGAGATACATGAACAGTGTCTGCAGGCCAGGCCCTCCTCTTAAAAACTCGACACACATTACCTCACTCACCACAACTAACAACTTACATGTATTCACTAATTTAGCTTTCACAAGAACAACACAGGAAGTACCATTATTACCTGTATTTGACACATGGAGGCAGGGTTTATTCCTAAAATTGTAACTTGTCCAAAATCATGAAATGCTAAGTGGTAGCACCAGAATTTTGGCCAAATTGGGTCTAATCCAGAGCCTACACCTTCCATGGGCCTTAAATGTTGCATATAAAATTACTTGATAGAAAAAAAATTACTTGATAGAACTCTGATGAAAAACATTCAACGCTTAATAGTACCTTGCATTTCAAAGCTACTTTAAAATTTTTCAGCATTATATATAGGTTCCTTTTTTTTTCCCCATTTCTACCAGGGTTAGGAGGTCTTTAAACCTTGAACAAAATCACATTTTTCTTCTGTAGCAAGGAAGGGACAGAGGGACGGTGGGACAAAGGGAAAGAAAATAGTCAAAACTCAGGAAACAGAACCAGAGGCTCCATGAGCCTTTTCATCATTAGCCACATCTCTAACAGAGTGTGCTTATGATTTCTAACAGTGTGGTTATGAGCAGTGTATCAGCTGTCATTTCTAGAACATTTACTACACTCTGGATACTTCCAGGTATTCCATTACAGCTCGTAAAAACAACAGAATAGACAGTATCAGTGCCGTGTTTCAGCTTAAGAAAGTGGGACTTCTGAAGAACCGGTCACAGTAACTGGCCTGAGTGGACATGAAATAACAAACGCGTGCCCCCACCCCCACCTCCTGCCCAAAAAATCCATTCCGCCTTCTCAAAGTTCCCACTGACTGTCAAAGCTTTCGAAGTGTAGATTGAAATCATTTTGAGTAGTGGGGAAGGGCAGGGGTCCAGGGCAGAAGGGTCAGGATAGAATTTCCAAGATGGTGTGCCCACCTGTAGTCCAACAAGTCTGTTGATGTCTTGAGCAGCGGGCAAATCACAGTCATCTGAGAAGGCTGCTGCATGACCCAAGGCCAAGGTGGTGTCATACAGTTCTTGGATGTCACCTGAATTTGGAAGTACCAGCAGTTAAAGCAGTACATGTTTCAGGGCTAGATGAAGCCTCAGAGCAGGAGAGTACAGGATCCTTCATTTGGCCTTAAAAAGGATAGCTTGTGCCAATTTAGGAAGCGACTTGGTGAGTTCAGATGGTGAAGTCTGAACTGATCAAGTCTCTGCTGCAGTGCAGTTTCTGTGGCAATGCTCATCCCATTTGCACGTGGAGCTGCTAGAACACAGCATTCACACTCCCAGCCTAGGTTGCTCCTGTCTTCAGTGACACTTTACTTCCACATATTTTAGGGATACAGAGAGAAGAGGCTCTCAAGGTAGTTTCTGAAGACTTGGCAATTAGGCCCTCAACAATGCCGTGTTCATTTTCAAAAGCATTCCAAGTCACTAGGCAACTAACAGCACAGAAAATGAAGAGACAGTCAATCTACTTAGCTGTGCCCTTCCAAAGGCTCTTGGCAGCCAGCGAGTGTACCTTGTACAATGACATCATCGTCCAGATAGATGACTTTCTCATGTTGGTGGATAAGCAGGGGGAGATAAAATCGAACAAAATTCAGCTGTTAAAACAAGAGAAACAACAGTGGGGAGCAGGCCTGCTTTCCTCTACCTTCCATCAATTAGATAACTAAATCAGTCTTAACACACTACACACACAAGCACACACGTTTGTCTCACCAACAGGTTCAGCCTTTAGCTTTTTGATCCAGAAAACAGTAATGCATTGGTGGGAGTTTTACATTTTCATTAGTGACGTTTAATCATCTTAACCCACCTGGCATTCTGACAGTCGGTATCTGGAATTGGGGAAAGATCCTGTCACAAATAGAGGGTTTAGAATTTAATTGGAAAGGACGGACTTAAGTAACAAGCATTTGTAGGAGGTGGCTGGAAAGTCTAAAACTGAAATCAAAATGGCTCTTGGGGGAGGTCAGCCATACTCCAGTGGATGGCCCCACACCCAGGAGTATATAAATAGACCAAGTTGGCATCCATGGTTATTTTTTAAAAAGAGGACCTGAAGTTGGGAGGCAGTTAGGGAGATGGATGTAGACCTAAAGTGGGAGCTAAGGAGGTTGGTATGGACCTGAAGTTGGGGGGTGGGTGCTAGGGAGGTGGGTGTGGATCTGGGAGGAGTTAAGAGGAGGAGCTGGGGTGAATATGATCAAAAGAGATTGTATGAAATTCTCAAAGAATAAAAAAAAAATTGAGACAGGATCTCCCTGTAACCCCAGCTGGCCTGGAACTCTATGTAGACCAGACTGGCCTCAGTCTCACAGAGATCCACCTGCCTCTGCCTCTCGAGTGCTGGGACTAAAGGTGTGTGCCACATCTGTCTTTTTTTTTTTTTTTTCCTTTATTTTGTGCTAGGATTTGCCATCAAAAGCACTGCTATTGGACTGGGGAGCCAGTTTGGTGGGAAAAGCACTGCACCAGCATGAGGAGGACCTGAGCTTGGATCCCAAGCACTCATGTAAAAAACTGGGTGTGGGGGGGCCGGAGAGATGGCTCAGTGGTTAAGAACACTGACTGTTCTTGCAGAAGACCTGGGTTTGAATCCCAGCACCCACATGGCAGCTAACAACCATCTGTAACTCCCGTTCCAGGGGATCCGACGGCCCCTTCTGTCCTGCGCGGGCATTGCACTTATCTACACATAGGCAATATACGCATATATATAAAATAAAATTAAAAATAATAATAAAACATTTTTTAAAAAACTGGGTGTGGCCATGCTGGTGGGACAAGTAGGGAGACTAGGAGAGGTGGAGGGAGAAAGGTGGAAACAGGAAGATTGCTGGGACTTGTGGGACACCAGCTCAGCTGAAAAGTGGCAAGTTCCAGGTTCAGTGAGAGACCTTGTCTCAAGGGAATAAGGGAGAAAGCAATAGAGGAAAACACCCACATCCTCCTGGTCTCCTTTGTGTGCATCAACACACACATACACATGTGCACACAACACACACACACACACACACACACACACACACACCACTACTCTTCATGCAGGAGAGGAACCCTTTGTGAGCACTTTAGCAAGAAAATGCTTATTATTTCCAGTGTTAGGAAAACCACTGGTGTCTCCTAAAATATGCTTATGGCCAACACTGAGACACATAACCATCATGCTGATGGCTTTCCTTAGCTGCTGGGAGACTCAGAGCTGATTGTAATTATCAAGCACCATACATACACTAGCCCAAGTGCTTCAAATGTGTTTTCCTGGCCTCACAACCTGGACCACATCCAGCTCCCACCCATAGACACATTCATACACATGAATGCAGACTACATTTTTATGCCTCATTTCTTTCTAAAAACTTTGTTATGCTTATATAAACCATCTTAAATCCTTCCTGGGACAGGTGGCTTCTAAATTACAAATAGTAGAGCTCAGAGGCAATCTAGTATGGGTGAAACTTCAAATATACCCCGTGTGTACATTGGATGGCTAATGCTCCATATGAATAGGGATTCAGGACTGTCCCCACCATGTGCATGACTCTTACAGGCTGGAGCAGCTCAGGCCGTGATGAGTCTGGTCTTATCTTCCCCTTGAGGACTATAGGGTTGAACTCCACAATTTTAAAGTTGATTTCTCTCAGTTTAGAATGTTCAATCCACTTTCTAAAGAGATGACAAAAAATCCTCTAGTACACATTTCATGTCTTCCCTGGGTTTGCCTATCACCTCAGGGCTAATCTCTTTTGGTCTTACAAGGTTAAGCTTAAATGTATAAACATAGTTGAGCTCAGTCAGTAAGTCCTGATTGCTTCCCTGTCTGGACTGACTTCAACCCCACCCCCAATCACATAACTCTTCCTGCAAAGGAAATGAAGCAAAATAGTAATAACCAAGTAGCTCCTCACATCCAAATGTTCTCCCAGGAAATGAAGAACAAGATGTTCTCTTTCTCTACAAAGCAGCATCTGTGGTGGCCAGACCTGCCTGCCATGTGGTACTGCTCTGAAACACTGGGAATCCCTCCCAAGCCCTTGACTCTGACAGAAGTCTTTTTAACTCCTCTTGACTCCAAAGATGACTTTGTCTCTCACTCCTACCCCTCTATCCCATTCCCTGTCTTTCCTTCTCTCCCTCCCCTCGTCGCTCAGTCTCACAGGACTTCTATCTTTTATTCAATTCACGGTGAGATTCCTGATAGCAGCAACCTCAAAACTAAATTTGCAATGACTAAAGCCACACACAGCAACAGTTGTTTATTGAAAATTGGTGGAAGAGGGCCAGGGATGTAGCTCAGTGGCAGAACACTTGCCTCTGTTGATAGAAATGTGGTGGTTGTCACATAAGTATGATGTAACTTTATGATGATGCAACTAAGATGTACAGTTGATTTATACAGTTTTCCACTTTTGTGTTCTCCTTCAATGAGAAAACATTTAAAAATTGGGGAGTCGGTGGACTGAATAGCCAAGGACTGGGAGACAGCACACTTTGTTGACTTTGTATGTTTTCTATGAATTGTCTGTTAATGTTCTTTCTTGGTCGACTAGTTGGATAACTTTTGTTTATTTGAGACAAGGTCTCAAGGTCTTTAATTTGCAATCCTCCTGCCTCAACCTCCTGAGTATTAGGATCATGGGCATGCGCAACCACACTGACTTTTATTTTTGTTTTTTACAGTACTAGGGATCAAATTCTGGGCTCTGGGGTCTATTCATAGTCTGTGCTCATTTTTCTACTAGACTTATATTTAAAAATTTTTGCAACAATTTTTTTATTATAAATAGTAATCCTTTGTCTATTATACATGTTGAGAGTACTTCCTACAAATCTATTTTAAAATATTTTTATTTTATGTGTATCACTGTGTTGCCTGCATGTACATGAGTGCACCCATGTCGTGCAGTGCTGTGGAGGTCAGAAGAGGGCTTTGGATTCCCCTGGAACTGGAGTTAAGGATGGTTTCTAACCGCCATGTGGATGCTGGGAATCAAACCTGGGTCCTCTGCAAGAGCAGTCAGTGCTCTTAACCGCTGAGCCATCTCTCCAGTCCCTAATTTATTATTTTTATTTTATGTGTATGAGTGTATTGTCTGCCTGTATATAAATGCACCTGGGTCATGTAATACTCTTGGAGGTCAGAAGAGGTCATCAAGTCCCCTGGAACTGGAGTTATGGATGGCTGATAGTCACTGTGCAGGTGCTGGGAATTGAACCCAAATCTTCTGCAAGAGTAGCCAGTGCTCTCAACCACTGAGCCATCTCTCCAGCCCCTCTAGTGATCTACTTTATGTTAATCCATTTTTTTCCATTATTCAGCAGGTCTTGTGTTATACAGTCAAATCTGTCAGCTTTTTCTTTCAATTTCTGGGCTCAGGGAGGCACTGTCCAGAGCAAGAGCATACAGTTAACCCATTTCTACAATACATTTAGATTTGATTTTCTGTTGATTTCTTCTTAATCTAACTCATAATTTTTTTATTTATTTTTTATTTATTTTATTTATTTATTTTTTTGTCTTTTTGAAGCAGGGTCTCCCTGTAGCCCCAGCTGTCCTGGAACTCACTGCGTAGACCAGGCTGGCCTTGAACTTGCAGAGATCTTCCTGCCTCTGCCTTCCAAGTGCTGGGACTACAGGCGTGCGCCACCATGCCCGGCCCAATTTATTTTTTAGTATGGCATGTGATAGGAAAAATTCAGTTCAAAATTATAATACGATATGTAAAGTTTGTTTTTCAAAAATTATAGGGCTAAGAGTATGGCTCACTGGTAAAAACTGCTTAGTATGTGTGAGACTATAGATTAAACTCCAACACCCTCCTCCCCCCAGCACACACATAATTAGTGAGGACTCAAAGAGGTATTTAAATGATGATGTTAATATTCTCTCAGGTTAAAAAAAACAGAGGGATCCAGGAGTGGTGGCAGCACCTGGGAGGCAGAGGCAGGCAGATCTCTTCGAGGTCAAGGCCAGCCTGATCTACAAAGTGAGTTCCAGGCAAGCTGGGGCTATAGGGAGACCCTGTCTCAAAAAAAAAAAAGCGAAAAGAGAACTTTTTTCCTTACAGTATAAGGGATTGAACCCAAGTCTTGACCCATGCACTTTGCCATGAGCTACATCCCTAGATCTTTTTTTTTGCCTTTTGAGACTAGGTCTCAATTCAGCTGCCTAGGCTGGTCTTGAACTCACTCTGTAGCTCAGGCAGGCCTTGAACTTGTGATTCTCCTGCCTCAGCCTCCCAAGTATTAGACCTAGCTGAAAATGAATTCTTTCAGATAAGCTGCTTAAGGACTGAGGTTCATTAGCTTACTGGACCATCCATATCTGCAGAAATACCCACTTTCCTACTTAAGTAATGAGGCTTTATCGGCATTTCCTCAGCTAGACAGCACAGCAGCGCAGTCACCATGTAAAACCAGGGCAACCCCTCAATAATTCTAATAATAACTGTCAGTCTCAAGAAAGAGGGCCCATCTAAAAGAAGAAAAAGAATATTAAAATAGAGCCCTCCAAAGAGTGTATAAGTCACCGTATTCGAGACAGAGTGTTCCGCAGTCCGACTACGTAGAACACAATGTTGGCGTCAGTGTTGCTGTAGATGCTGTTGATGGCGGCCATGGCCGCGCCCATCCTTCCTGCCGCCGCACAGATCACCACCGGAATCTCCTCTTCCGTGTCCTCAGGAGTCTCAGGATCATCATCTGAAACATCAGAATCAGTGACTTGGAGCATGAAGGAATTCAAGGGAGAGCCTGTAACTCCGCGTCTGCAGCCCTGGGGAAGACCACGCAGCGCGGAGACTGCGGGCTGTTCGCCGGTGCCCACGCTCTCCTCCGTCCCTTGGAAGAGTGTGGAAATTTTAACCAGCACATGGCCAACCACTAAAACTATTTTTCCCAGACTCCCTTGCCTCAAAATATGATCGAGTTCTCATGAATGGGCTGTTGTTTCAAGTAATATGTGCAACTACCGAGTCTGCAGGCCAGAGTAAAGCTTACGTTCCCCTTGACCATTGCCCCTTCCCAGTGGGATGTTGATGTGATGCTGAGAGGGGGAGAGCTGTCTTATGGTCACAAGATGGAGGACACTGAAGATATCAAAACTATAAAATGCACAGTATTTTGGTCTGAATGATTGTGGAATGGGTACATCAGATTTTTCACCTGGAAGAAAAAGTAAATTCCCTTTCATTTTGGAATGCTTTTTAACAGGAGCCAATCCAACAGCCTCACACACATATAGTTGAAAACATGAACTGCAAAGCCTCTTCGGTTCAGCAGTCCTCGATTCCTCCCTGAGTCACAATATCTGTCTCTCCTATACTGCTATCAAGTATATTGTTTGTGATTTTTCTTCCCCTCAGCACTGAAGCCAGGTTTTTCAGATGTTGAGAGCAAGAGAGGAGGTACATGGAAAAGCATGACTGACACACAGGATGAACGACTGGTTTCTTTTCAGCATTGAACGAGGTGAAATATCAATGCTACCACATGATATTTTGGTGCCACAATACAACTTGCAGGTATGAACAATCACCAAGTGATAGACTGTGTGTATTGTCAAATGCCCATCTGATTTTTACCAGAGCTTGACCTCTCTTTATAGACACTGTTTTACAAAACCTTCCCTACCCAGGTCCAAGGTATTTCTAACTGATACTTAATTCAACACACATTTATTGAAACTCATCACTGTGTATTCTGTGTAATTTAATAAACATTGAATGACCAACTTCTGATCACATTTGACCTTTTCTACCAGTAGAAAGAATTTGATTTTCATGTGTTTCCTGACTTGAGAGAATGTTTATAGTATACTTTGAAGGGGGAAAAGACTATAAAATCATCTCTAGTATTTGATCTCCATGTGATACATATATATCAATAAATTCATGTCTACTTATGAAATTATTATTTTAATTTTGTTTGTTTCTTACATTTTCTAAATTCTCTCAGTAACCATGAATAATTTTTTATAACCAAATAAAAAAAAATTTTTGAGACAGGGTCTTATGTAGCCCAGGCCAACCTTGAATTTACTGTGTAGCCAATGATGACCTTGAACTTCTGATCCTCTTGCCCCCCACTTTCCAAGTGGTGGAATTATAGCACCCAGGGTTTTGGGGGTTTTTGTTTGTTTGTTTGTTTGGGTTTTTTTTTTTTTTTTTTGGTCTTTTTGAGGCAGTGTCTCCCAGTAGCCCCAGCTGGCCTGGAACTCACAGAGATCTGCCTCCCAAGTGCTGTGATTAAAGGTGTGTGCCACCAAGCCCCGGTTAGCACCCAGTTTTTAACAATAATTGTTCACAGATTGTTTGTTCCTTTTGGCATAAGTTGTCACCTTGAAGAAGCAGTCCCCAGTCCTGTTACCTCTGAAGAAGTGGTCTAACTGAAATGTGAATTTGGCTATGCTAGTTGACAGCTGAGAATGCATCCATTGCTGGAGCACAAACTCCAGCTATGCCAAACTCCTTATGGCTTCCTGAAGACTAGGCTGTGTACTCTCACATCTCAGAGTCTTTTGCGCACACTGTTCCTCAATGTCTGGAATGTTCTCTGTATCCTTTTATGCATGATTAACTCTTGCATATTTATTAATATGCTACAGTAGTGACATCAGACCATGTGAGAAATCTAACAGCCCCACAGCACACTCATCTGCCTATGCTGTGTCCTTCCTTTTTGTTAGATTTGTCAGCTACACTGTTCGTTTGCTTGTATGTTTCCTTTCCTATCGCATGGAAGCTCTGTGAGGGCAGAGATGGCATCTTGTTTATCTCTGTCCTCTGCTTCTGTCCCAGTGACCAGCAAATAAACGGATGAGCTTATACTAGACTCCTATTTCAGCACTTGACAAGTCTATTTATGTGGCTGATTGCCTCCACCAGACTGTGTGCTCGGTATATCATCCCACTGAGTCTGGCACTTTGCAAGTGCGTAATGAGTTTGCTGGAAAGAACTGAACATAGGCAGAGTAGCCCCCGGAGAACAGGGTTGTCAGGGAATGGTGCAAGGGGTGTTTGTAGGGGCAAAGACAGAGAAGAGTTGAAAAGCAGAGGCAGAGCCTGGTTAGATGCTGGTAGAGGCCTTCAGCAGGCAGCAAACAGCAGGCAGTATGAGGGAAGCAAATATTCCCATGACTGACGGGCACCTCAAGAGAAGCTCAGCTGTTGTGTGTACAGCTCTAATGCAGCCACAGCCTCAGGGCCATCCTAAGAGTCTTGGCCCATCAGAGAAGCTGGAGTGAAGCCCCAAATCCTGCTCTCTGCCACGTTTCTCTGAGACAGAATAGAGAATGACAGCCTGCTGGGAAATGGTGGGGGAAGCTAAGGACAGTTCATTCTTCCACAGTGCTCCAACCTATAAACTAGGAAACATGATGGTAGAATGGACTAGAAGTGGTATTATTGCCTTAGTATGTTCCCACAGGATGTCTGATCAAACCATGGAAAATGTCCATGATGTAAGGCAAAAGGATTTGATTCCTTTTGGTCAATAATATATTTTAAAATTATGATGTTTTAGAATTAAAACCAAGGGCTAGTAAAATGGCACAGGGACAAGAAATGCTTGCCATGCAAAGCCGTGTGACCCGAGTTTGAACCCTGGAACCCATGTGGGGGTGTGTTGGGGACCCCTGCTGTCTAAGGTAGCAGTCTCTACATGTCCCGATAGCTGCAAGTCGGCTCAGCGATGTTGGGGACCCCTGCTGTCTAAGGTAGCAGTCTCTACATGTCCCGATAGCCACAAGTCGGCTCGGCGTTCATATGCAGAGACTCCCTTTCTCAGCTGGGTGCCTTCCTACTCTCTTCCTGACTCACCTTTTGAAGTGCCCATCACAGATATATATCCTCGGGCATGAAACTGCCAGGTCTTCCTGTGTGATAATCAGGCAATGTCTGTGCCCGTCGGCATGAAACTGCCAGGTTTTCCTGTGTGATAATCAGGCAATGTCTGACAGCCTGGCAGAAGCCCACCACTACATGTAAATGGGGCATCCTACAAAGCACCTATCAACTAAGGCTTTTGCTACTGTCTCCACACTATAAATATCCTGGTTTCCCCCTAATTAATCGGAGCTGAATTACTAAGACCTGGAGCTGAGCTGAGTCACTGAATAAAGGAGCTGTACCTACCTGACTGAGCTGAATTCTGTGTCTTACTGCCTACGATTCAGTCTCTCCAGAGGGGGCTGTCCCTTCGTAAACAACAACTCGGGAAGATTCTGCTTTTGCTGTTCCCGCACCTCCCCACGTGATCCGACGGCCTGCGGATCGCATACCTTGAGGGAGTGCCGGGTGGCTTGGAACGGAACCGCCTGGAAGCGCCGCGACCAGTAGAGTCACCAGCATCCAGTAGTCGCGGAGAGCCTCAGCAACGAGGTGCGCAACATGTGCGCACCCCAGCAACGCAGAGAGCCAGGGACCCGAGCAGCAACGCGGTGCGTGGGACCGCCCATAGGGGTGGAAAGAGAGAACCAACTCCACAAGTTGTCCTCTTACTTACACAAATGCTCCATGACACATGCCCACTTTTACACAAAA